CAGCCCGAACGTAAGAGTAGAGAGCTTTCCAAACACCTTTTAACAAACTGATGACTTTGCAATTCTATTCAGCCTTCAGCGAGTGTCAGTAAAAAAGGAAAACCTGAAAATTCTTTGTCTCAAAAAAGAGACAAAAATAATGAAAAGTGCTAATCCAGTGTTTGAGATAACATGATTATTAAAAAGGCGGTCGCGCACAACGAAACCCACCGCTACATCTTACTACGTCTGAGTGTCCTTATCGACACTCCTGCTGCTGTAGCTGCAATTTTTAACAATTATTTTGCCGATTCTTTTACTACTGTGGACAATATACTTGGTATTCACCCAAAACGGTATTGTAGGCCATTTATCTCTAAGGTAAATTTCGACACCGGTGTTATTAATCGTCAAATTAACGCTTTAAAGTTTAAATTACATCTAGGTCCAGATGAAATCCCTCCGGAACTTTTAAGATCCAGCGGGAATAATATGCCCTGCTTACTACTGAACTTATTTGCCACATCAATGGCATTTGGATTTTATCCCGATTAGTGTAAACGGACGACACTGACACCCCGCCATAAAACCGTGTCTAGATATAAGGTTAAAAACTAACGGCTCATAAATCACACTGCAATAATTTCCCGAATCATGAAGCGCGTAGTTAAAAATGAAATAGTTAAATTGCTAACATCAAAAAAGCTTTTGTCATGCTTGCAGTATCGATTTCTGCAAGGCGTTCAAGTGTCACTTGCCAGCTAGATTTGTTTTGTCACATAACAAAGTCGACAGACTCTGGTAAGATCTGTATCGTACTCCACTTGGACCTACAAAAAGACTTCGACAGGCTTTCACACAGAACACTTATACACAAACTTCGCCTTAGTGGAATCGAAGGCTCACTATTACCCTGGTTAGAAGCTTGGCTCACTGGTCGAAAGCAGACAATCAAGATAGATGAGTAACTGTCGGAAACCAGAGATATTACTAGTGGAGTGCTCAGGGTAGGGTACTTGGTCTTCTTCATTTTTTGACTAATGTACATGATCTTTTCCCTGTAATAAAGCACGCTAGATCTTAGTTGTTCCCATGTGATATAGAAATTTTGTACACTACTGATTCTTAACATCTGTCTCTTATATCTGCGATCCAGCGTGATCTAGTTTCCCTGGAAGATTGGTGTGTCGGATCTCCCATGAAATTTTCAACATCTAAGTACAGCATTATGTGCTACGGATGCTTGGTTTCACCTTGATGTTTGATTTTTGCATAGAATCCCCCACCCTTTATGTGAATTAATGTGTGACTTAGGCCTCCGTTACTAAGGTTAGTTGCATTTTAAATAACAAATTGAATATACTGTGGCCAAAACACGACAGACTATTGGAGGGATAGGTGGATTGTTTATAACAAGCGATGTTAAGCTCCAGTCATTTAAGCTGTAGGCCCGACTATTGTTAGAATAATGTGCCAACATTTCCAGTAGCATTTGAAGATGCGACACGAGTGCAATCGAAGGAACACAGAGGTCTATTACGAAAACTATCTTGGGCTCCACATCTGAGCTCACCTATGAAGATAGATGCCGTTTGTTAATAATCGAACCGCTATGGCTTTGAAGATTAAGGCTGAAATTATGTCTATTATTCTAAATTGTCCATTGACTGGCATGCCCCAGTTACTATCACTGTGTGACCTAATAAACAAAGATTGTGTGTGATAACGCTACCACATTGCCGCACACATCTACGGTATAACACCTTTACACACAAATATCTCGCGGTATGGAATAGATTGCCACAGGCCATCAGAAGTTTATCTTCACTTCAAACATTAAAGATGCGAATAGAAGAGCACTGTTGGTGAAGTTAGAGAACCGTTTCGTGTCAGTTGCACAGACGAGCACAGGCCCGATAACATATAAGTGTTTGAGGAATTCGCAATACAAAAGTATAGACAAATATAGTGAGAAGCGCTTGTCGATACAACTTGAAATACAGTATTCTCGTATCATGAGCTTTTTGTTAGATAACAGCTTTGTCGCTCGTGCCTTCTTCCTACTTTGTCATATCCTGCGGTATTACTCAAACTGATGACTCACTGATGCCCTATGGAAACATTGAGACATCGATAGGTCGGATAAATGTGATCTATCTCTGATATTCTCTTAGTCTGTGCTGTTCTATTCGTCGTGTCACTCAGCACAATTGCCCGTCGTTGACCTATGAAAACATGGGCAAATCGATGAGTTGTCCAGATGGGAGTTATCTTCCCATTTTTTCTTCATCTGCGATGCTTCTTACTGTGCCCTTACTCAGCTTAAAGACCCACTGATGACATGTGAAAAACATGCGCTCCTTGATGGGTTGGATAAGCAAGCTTTTTCCTTAGCCTTCATATAGTGCCTCCTTTCCGTTACACAGCTAGATGAAAGGCATGAGTGCCTGCAAGATATGGACCTACTGAAAGGGTGAACCATTGAGGTCCTGCAACTAACCCACCATATTTATGTACGTAATTCCATTTTCCTTATGTTATCATATGTTACCCTTTGTGTGGGGTCCGTCAATTCTTTTTATGTTTCATGAAGCAGGCAGTTTTCACTTTAACTGTTTGCCGTGCTACCATGTCTGCTCAAACACTTACTGTTTATAACTTATTGTTATATAAAAAGTTATGAATTAGTTAACTACTCTTGCCATGTGAATATTGTCACTTACTTCCTAAAACGTTGTCCTTTTGATTTCTTTTCCCAACCATTCGCCTACACGTAGCTGAACGATTCGCCAGTGTTGTGGAACCCGACACATATTGAAACGAAATCAATGGCGCACGAATCGATGGAATTGGAACCACAAGTGCTTTGTACATGTACAGCAGTACATAAAATCATCCTGCATTTCCTTTGTACCTTATGATCGTACCAGCTTACCTGGACTGTGCCTTACCTAATTGAGAACATTTCAAGTTAATTTAATCCACAACAAGGATGAGAGAGTTGGGTTGCTGTCTGAGCAGAGGGCTTTGGGTGTAGGCAATTGGTTAACAGGTTCGGTCACATCATCAGTGCAACTTCCAGGAAGTTTTCGAGTACTTGTTTCGGTGACAAGTTTAGTGCGAGCCACTGACTTGCTACCTCACATATGTCACAAAAGGACTGGGTGACTAAATGGTTGGATACGGCTGCAACACGTCGCAATATACATCATTGGATTCCGAGCCGGCCTGGGAAATGAGCTACTGTAATTATTGGTGTAAAAATGTAAGCAGCGCGCAAGCTAAGCGAAGGGGATGAATGCGAAAGGTAAGGAAGAAAATGCCCAGCACCTTGTTTCCTCAGTAACCGATACTTGAGTTATGGGTTTGTTCGGTGTTCGTTACGACTGCCTTTCATTTCAGATCACAAATGTTCTTGTGGGTTTCAGGAAGTATAAGATTAAACCGCTGTGTTTAGACTAGAAAAATGCCAGAACTTATCGTGCACCAAATGGCACTGATCGGGCTGAGTTGCGTAAATGTATGCATACGGACATGCCTTATGCTATGAAAGACTATACGCCCAAGTACACGGCACTGCTATGACTTCCCTATTATATAACGCGTTAACATATACGTAAATGGAAGAATTCGAGAATATGACACCATCAGACTTCCGTAGTGTTCGTACTGTGATAAGCAAACGATTATTCTATGATTACAAAGTTGATAGTAAAGGTGAATATTAAACTACTTATACCCCATTAAGGAAGCGACGGCGAATACTGGGGGAGAAGGATACCGTGAGGACACACTCCGGTTCCTTGAATGTCTGGTACACAGGAACGCTAAAATCGACAACACGTCACAGACTAGTGAAGACAGACGAGGTGCTGAGTTATAGTTCAGGCCCCCTGAAGCATATTTTCCGAGTAATCACTCTATTACTGTTTCATAAAGTGAGTACGCTGTGTTCGGAGAGAAGAGGATGAAGGAGTTGCTAAAGCGGGGCATGGAGAAACTTGAAGGCTGGCATATACCCGAAGTCCTCTACATAATTCCTTACTCCACGTTCAACGCCAATCAAAGGATGGATATAGACTAGGAATTCCGTATAAAGAAGGAACACCAAAACCATTTGGAAGACATTGACTAAAAAAGCAATTCAGGTGGTTTTAAACGTCCTAAAAATTGCGGTGGACTCTGGGACATTTGTAGCTTTCCTTTACTTTAGCTGAAACAATCAAATAAACTTACAGCTCCCATATAAGGATTGTCTGCATGGGTACACAGACTAGATGATGAAAGGCAAGTGAGCGAATTCCAGAACGTATAAGTCGCATACCACAAACACTAGAGACAATCACAAATACATACCACTGCTAAGAGACGCGGGCGTAACGGTGCATGCGCTAGAGACGTGAGTTGAAGTCTATTTTGAAAATGTTGAAAGCATTAGGAAAGAGTTGCGATCAACGCAACAAAGGCAAACTGTTAAGGCGAGGGAATGCTTGGTGATCATTCCTAATCGGGCTAATTCGATAAGTTTTAGTAAGTAGATCCTTCCTTAAATGGAAAATAAACTACATCTCCATTGCAAGTGTTTAGTTCCCAACACGGTTTTCTACCATTCATCCAACCAATTTATGACTCCGGACCACAGGAAGATAGCTCCATGGAGACCTGTAATTTGCTGTCTGACGGACACAGCTTTGCTATGAATTTTACCCAGACTTGTTATAAAATGTAGCATAATTTGATGCTTGTTCAATGTTGCTGAAGGAGCATTTTTGTCAAAAGCCATACCCTACCCAGCGCAAACTTTAACCGGTTGAATCAAAACCTTGCTGAAATGACGCTTTCGCGATTTGTTCCAATCTCTCGATTTGGATGAGCTATTCCGAGTGAGCTACGAGGACGAAAAATATGGCAACCGCACGGTGAAATGCAAAAGCTGTTGAAAATTAGCCAGCATACCATTTGGTCTGTGTTTGTATGGAGTGATTCAAGGACTTTTTCCGGTCTGACTTCAGTGAACTCACCAGCTAATCCCAGTTGACCAGGAGGGCCATATTCGCCTTTCATGCCTTTCGGGCCGCGCATACCCTTCGGACCAACGGGACCACGTGGCCCGAAGGAGCCGGGATCACCTTTTTCCGCGGTACCCACACATTGTCCTTTGTCACCCGGAGGACCAGGACGACCAGCAAAACCTGAGTGGAAGAGGTCAATGATACAACACGTTCTCGTACCAAACTAGAGTAGTAGACAATTTTAAACGACGCAACCAGTGGGCATCCAGGTGCAACATCTCAATTTGCTCTATGGTGCAAAGGCTACAAATTTTTCGGCTGCTGAAATGAGCCGGTAGTTGGATAGTAACGGCTTAAAGTCACTAGTGTTGATGATATTGAGAGGAATGCTAAAGGCGTTTTCTTCTACATCATGATGTTACAATTTACATGTTCTACAACATTACCAGCATATGGTTTCACATGATAAACTCCATTGCTTCGAAGAAATATGATTAATAATACTCGTCAACTTGAGAAAATAGTTGGGTCGTTTCACAGTACAACCATACGGCAGTGATAACAATGACCAGTGCGACCATGACATCCTGAGTTTCAGCTTCAGAAGCGATTATATCAGCGGTGTTGTTAACTTGTATCCACCAGATTGGATTCATCCTACGATTTAATCGGAGTAACTGCAGTGCTTTCAAGTAGCGTGCACGCGCGTACTGGCTGGGTCTCATTCCCACATGCTCGCAAACGAAGAGCAAACCTCGTGGCGGTTCGATCAATGCAAAAACGCCGTATACATCAACTACTGGGGTTCGCGTAAGCTGTGGCGCAAGAAGGATTTTCTCGACAAAGTTGCCGGATGTTCATGAAACCTAGAGTGCACACTGTTTAGCTGATGGGTGTCATGTGACCCTGGCCTGACGGGCAACACTACGTAGCCCCGGGATCAACTGGTATACGATGGGCAGACGGATGTCTACCCGATGGGTTGAATTCGTACCGCGTCATTCAGGGACGTGTCGGAAACGAAATCTTGACAATGATGTGGATGGAGAGCAAGTGACTCACTCGCTGGACAAAATCCAGACCCAACCACGGCCCGCGGCGTCATCATGAAATAATAAATTCAAGCTTGAACTTTTTCATAGATGTGTAATTCCTGTTATTCTCTTTATGTCAGACTGAATATGGGCTGACAAATTTTACGAAATGTGGCCTTCCTTGCAAAAGCTTTGGACACCCCTGCTCTAGTGCATCCCAGTTGCACCATACTAGATACGACAATCAGTCTGACGAAGACTGCACGTCAGGCGCCCGATGAACCAATGCCCCAAACTGCCTCGGCGGTCGACCAATTGACGTAGCTCGCCATCCCCAGATAGTCAGAATGAACCGGCGAAATTTGGTGACAAAACGAACCATTTCCTACCACATACGTAGGCTGTCGGTTTTCCAAACTGTAGGAAATAATTAGACTTCAAACGCCTGAAAGTAGGTTAAAAGACAGAACCCAGGTGCATGATCAAAAACAACTTTACCAGTGATGGTGGTTGCTGCGTGACAAGTCTATATGTACAGTCTGTTTCCAGATTTCACAGAGCTCATGGGCTATTAGGTTTACCACGCTCCAATCCTGTTGAGACGATTACTGAATTACAATGCACGAAGCTGAATGACATTACTGACAATTTATGAGTTGCATACCGGTTAATGTTACTGAAGAGACAATACGAAATACATCACCTACTTTTTCTTAACGTGCTTTTTAAATTTCTGAAGGAAACTAACTACTTTAAAATTATAAGTAGTTCAGCTTTGTTAGCATTTTATCAAGCCGCGCATCACAGGATAATTGCACTGACTGGAGTGATTCCGATAATTATCCGAAGGAACTAACTGACATTCGTGTTGTGTTTACCTTTTTGTTTATATAACATCGCCCTTTAACCGTAACCTGAGCCTAAGTATCAGGTCTTTTGTTTTACGGCGCTGTGTTTATCGAACCTCCATTACTACCGCTGTTCGAACTTAACTGGATTTATTTACATCCGGTTGCAAGTCGATTCACGTATTCGTAAATCACCACTGTATCTTTGACTAAATTCTTGTAGAACCACGGTTAATTCAGTACAACTTTTTATGCCCACCGTCTTCATATTTTACTGGTTAGGCTTGTAAATCGGCAGAACCGGTCGTAGCTACAACTACCATAGTGCCACATACAGCCATTGAACACGAATTCATCTCAACATTCAAAGAAGCACTTTGATATCATAACCCATTTCATCTAACATTAACCTAAACAACCATACCAATATACCAAGGCTCTCATTCTTGGCGGTATTTGAGTCAAAAGCAGAGTAATTGTGATGTCTGGGTTTAAAGGTGGGTATCAGCAGTCGTCAGTATACCTTACGGATTCTTCGCTGCCACGCGAACATCACCAGTCGCGCGCGGGTTAAAGACGTTGCAAGGTCGCCCGCCACCCCTATGTATGTTCGAGTCAATGACTCCCGCAGTTAAAAGGCAAGCACCTCATCTCTTCGGTCACTGGTGTCATCTGCGCGGACCGAATTCAGTGCAGGCTCAGTTATCCGGTAGGTAATTCAACAATATGAACTACAAATTTTGGATCAGCTCGCTGTAAGACACCGCGGTACCTAAGTGTCTCTGCTGTTTTCATGCCGGAAAAGTGCCCAAAAACCGGCGGCTTATGCAATAGCTGTTCGGAACTGGAATCACATGAATGAAAGGGAATTGTTACACTTACCAGGATCACCGACATCACCAACATCGCCGGGAAGCCCCTTGATTCCACTACCCCCACTGGGACCCGGGTCACCAGGAAAACCTTTGGGTCCAACTTCACCGCGAGCCCCAGGAAGGCCGGGAGATCCATCAAGTCCTTCAAAATCATAAGAATAAAGCATACTATTAGCCGCAGGGACATTTGAATTTACGAATGATAAAGAGTAAACTAATAGAGCAGTTCCCTTCCCCTGTGAGTAGACCGACCCGTAACAGCCTACAGGCCTGCTGCAACCGCGTAGCGGATCAAGTTTTCATACACCTCTTCACGCCGTTTATATCCCCATAAAAAATTAGAGAAACTGCGAGCAGATGGTAGGTAGTACTGTCAGTCACTACATTGGAATTTTGCTGATTCTTGATTGGTGCATCACAAACGACTCCGGACGATCCATTATTTGCATGTGTCGAATAAGGAGCGCATTGACAAGGTGGGGTGGGTTGCAAACGATCTCGCATAAAATGAAAGAATGTGTAACAACTCCATTGTGTATCGGAGTAGAGAAACCAATTGACTATGGAACAAAGCTTTGGTGCGTGCTTTGACTTCGATCCGTTGCGAAGAGAGCACAGGTGGAAGTTAAACGCAGCAGATGGATGCTGATCGCATCCGCAGGTTAATTTGAAATCTAACACAGATACCAGACATAAAGAGCAAAATATCCGAATAAGCGGAGGGTTGAATTTGTTACCGGGGCTTTTCATGACCAACAACACATTTGTGCCATGTGTCATACCTGTGCGAACGTTCTTTCCAGCGATCCGCTTAGTTGTCCCATTGTGGTTACCTTCACCACATTTACCTCAGTGTCCCAAGCGATCATCTATTTCATCGAAGATTAATGTGCACTTGACCCTGAGGCGATTGTGTGGTCTTCATTTACCTATTCTGCCTTAAGTCAGAGCAAAAATTTTGCCGCTGCCCCGGGCGGCGAAACTATTTACTACACCATGGCACACACTGATCGGAGTAACTTAATCCTACTGAAGAGACCGGTCAGAGTAACGGTCAGATTGACTGCTGTTCGGCCAGGGTAGACAGAGCGATTGAACTAACTTATTTTGCGAGTATAACGTGGGTTGGAATATTTGGACCGCAATAGCTTTTGCTGTGGTGGGCATTCGTAGAAAATTACTGAAGTTTGTACATTGATCGGTCTACATTTTCGTTTTGTTTATCCTCCTTAATAGTGACTCATCGATTCACTTACTCAGGTGTATATCCAGAAACGAGAGCTGGCCCTCTTGTTCAAGGTTGTAGGTGCTCTTGATTGCCTGGTGCGCAATGGTAAAATCTCCCAAGTTTTTATTAGTCACGCAAAAGATGTCCACATAGTGTTAGTACTGGTCGAAAATGATCGTCCTACTAGATTCATCCAGCGCAACATTCAGCTCAGATTAACATCGAACGCAGAGTAATTATTTGAAAAGTAAGCTCTCTTCATTCTCCTTAGTTTCGAAGGTGGCAAAATCGCTGAGCTTATAATCTGAAAACCGACACAGTCGATCAGAAACACTTTCCCAGCTGCGGAACTGCAATGTATCTTCGCCACCAACCCACTTCTTTCCGTGTGCAGCATGGTCAGACTGTCGAAGCTGACCTCCGCTTACACAATCCATCGATTTGAGTGCACCTTGGTGCAACTTATATTAGTCGAATGGCTCGTCAATGGTCACGTCACATTAAGGAACATAATGATAAATAGGTGGCGAACGGAGGAAGTGGAGTGCTGACAAGCGAGATTTTGTCCCATTTATTCGAATGCTTTTACTGTGGCTTACCAGGGCCCTGTTTGAACAAATAGAAATGTCTACGTCTACTGAGGCTCACCACGGCAGAAGCTATTGCGATCTGAATATTCCTACCCACGTTATGCTCGCAAAAAGTTTGTTCAACCGCTCTGTCTACCCTGGCCGAGCAGCAGTCAGCCTAACCGCCACTCTGACACCGGTTTCTTCAGTATGGTTATGTAAGCTCGATCGATCCGTGTAGGACAGTGACGAATTATCTGCTGTTTAACCATTGACCTACTTCCGGACCGAACACCGTACAGGTCTTTGTATTTTAACCTTGTACTGGCCCGTAGGTGGATCATTGAAAACAATTGCTTGTCTCAGTCTGGTGTTCTCTATGGCAATCACTAAATGGCTTTTACTTTCCTGTTCTTTTACGAGTATTCAGTTAACTAACTGAACTGATATGAGCTATCACGTGAGGGCCATTAACACTCGTGCAATGGGGAAAAAGAGTACTATAAACTCGGTAACCATGGAAAGCAACACCGCTGCTGTCACAATGGGTGCTAATGAACCTACGCCCTGTTGCACCTATGCAGTATCCTCTGTAGTACAAGAACCGGTAAAGGTGTTTGAAAGACCAGTGACTAATTGGTCGGTCAACATTGTTGCCCTTAGATCTCCAACATCTGATAAAATAAATTAGAGAAACAGTTAGCCGAAAAAATGTCGAAACCAACGACGTCTGACTTATTGGCGGATATCCCTGTGTTGGTTCCATACTTAATTCAGGCACCGGACAATTCAGAGTCGACAGGAAATTGGGGCGTTGAACTTCTTAGGTGCAGTTGCCTCTGATGTTACCCAAATAAACAGAGGAGGAGAAAATGCCATCGCCCTCAACATAGCTGAACATATCTCCATCAACAAAATTAGCTATAGTGTTCGAGCGCATACCACATGCCAAAGCGATAGTAGTTGTAGAAGAAAAAACCTTTTCCTTACCCGACTCTGTTCAGCTTCCGTAGTGAAAGTCTTGCAAGAACGTTTATTAAAAGCCAAAATACTTTGAGATCCGTTCCGAAATTTATAAGTTATATTTGAATATAGGACACTGTTGCAACGTGAACTTCAACACACTGAATCCACAAATGTGTTGCCTAGACTGAGCAAAGTCATACCCCTTACGCACTTCCTGAACTGCCAACAGGCCGATTATTTAGCAACGCTTCCCTCTCCGACCTTATTGAAGCGGCTAACGATGGTAACGCAGCCGACAGCATAGAGGTAACTCAGTTGCTAACTCCTTCACATGATATGAGAGGTAGTACAGACTCAGTCAACGCACTACGTTCCACCAAACCAGTAACGGCTGTTATCAATCCCAATACCGCGCGTAAATTTGATACACGCCTAAAAACATCAAGTAGGCTTGTCACTAGCTCCAGCGAAAGTGCATTACGGAACATTGGTATGATGGCTAGCAGTGGTGGCCATGTTTCACGCCCTAAGCGCGTTAGTCCAAGGACGGGCCTACACACTGGAATGCCGACTTTCCGTTGCCCAAAGACAGTCGGGGTTTAGAACACTGCTCCGCAGAGGGGCAAGCCACGACCCCCAGTGTTTAGACGACCCGCTAGAAGTTTTCTCCCGACAGACCAGCACATAACTTGGCTGAAACGCAAGCAATCCACTTACGCCCCTCTTCATTCGCTGTTCCTCATCCCCTTCTTTTACGATGTACTATGAGAGCCCTTCAGTCATGACACCTTATCCATCCGAACCTGATCACCCCTAAATACCACAACCTTCTTTTGGTATTCCCCCAATATAATCACAGTCGCACTAGTGAAAATCACGGTAAGGGATTTGTGGCAGGTTTTAGAACTAATATGACTGCAAGAGCAAACACTGGCCGTTATGTTGAACACCGCCAGGATTCCTTAAGACTGATGCTACTATACTTGCATGATAAATTAGATTCATTTACTTCGCACCTGAATATACTTGAGTAAATCTGATCTAATTTTATTCACGGAAACCTAGCTTCATGATTCGATAGCTAGCCAACAGCTTTCCATCGATGGTTACAAGCTTATTACCAGAACTCAGTTTTTTGATAAAGCTGTTGGTGGAGATTTTAACCTACCCGACATCTACTGGTCCAACTTAGCAACAAATGCGAAGGATGCTAAGTTTGTGACCTCCCTCGTCATTGGTGAGTGTAAGCAACATATTTTCCTGACTACTGGTAGCACAAAGATACTAGACTTATCTTTCACGTCAGGCGTGTCCTTGATAACTACTGGCGTATTAAATGGTTCCCTGTATGTGAGCACAAACTAGTTCAATGTAAAATTAGAGCCAAACCTTTTCATGTGAACTCAGTGATAGTTCCACACTTCCTGCGAAATGTCAATTGGGTAACTTTCTTCGCTCTGCCTAGGGCGCAAAATTTAGACCCTTTCGCTTGATATCCAGACAACCGTTGATTTCTTCTATCTTAATGTGACTATACGTGTAAGCATGCTTGCCTCCAGTGCTAACACCATGCGTACGAGAGCATCTTCTACGTACCTTATCAACGTAAGAGTTAAATTGAATAAATATGCTAACTCGAACATATGAACGGATTCATGACTTCAGCATATTACTGAGGTTTCAACGCCTAGCAGCTGAAACGGGCATGAAAATCCACACCCCTCTTATACAAGAAGGACAATGAGCTATGAATAGTAATAACACAAGCCAACAGCTGACTGCTCTACTGAAAAAAGGAGATATGGCAAAACTGACCTACTCTCCCCTATCGTCAAGACTAAAGCTAACGCCACCATTGGAGTGGTACAACGCAGTGTTTTAGGTTCCTTCTTTATCCGACTGTATGTAAATGACCCAATCTCAATGGCACAATTTGACAAGTGTTATTTGTTTGCTGATTATCTAAACGTTGTTTACAGGTTCTTAACCGTACAAAATATCACCGTAATTGAAAATATCCAAAGCGATTTAAGCGCTATTGAGATGCGCTTCTATGTGGCAGATGATGCATGTAACGTCGAAGTGTAGTATTCTTGCGTATGGAAGCCAGGTGGAAGCAGGAATGTTCAATCTTTATAACGAAGTCATTCCCATTAGCCAGTTTGACCGCGATTTGGGTTTGAGATGCCCCAGTTCGTTAAATTCTAGCGAACATGAAAATCATCTCTTGACGAGTGCTAAGCAATCTGACAAGCTTGAAAGAAAAGAGACCAACTGCCTTCAAAATCAGTATTATATTGCTCTGTTACGTGCAGCAACCTGCAAAATTGCGGCTTGCGAGCCATTGAAAACGTTCAGTACGCCTTCATATAGCGTGTATTTGGCTATTCTACTGCCCTTTCGTATAGATATAGGTGCAATATGAGTTTAATCTTGAGCTTCTGGGGTTATGAAGATTGAATTTGTATATGTGCTTCCTCCACAACCTTGCGTGACGGAAAGCAAATGTTGGAACTTACGCACTGCAATTTCGGGAATATATCAATTATGTGATGCGAGACAGTGAATGTATGCTCTCATTGCCTAGGCTCTGGACTAACATAAGGAAAAATGTCTACCTCCACAGGGAAAAAGCAGCCTAAAGAGATCAGATGTGTTGAACCTTTGCGTGCTCAAGAAAAGGATATGTAATTGTTTATCAATAGGCAGAGAATGACATATATTAACAAATCAAATTGATGATGAAAGTCTGTAGGAAGATGGACCGGATCATGTTTGACACCGGTGGACATCGATCGGAAGTGTGTTACAGTGGGTGCAGCAGCGCAAGCTGAATATTTCGGATTGAGCGGTTCTCATCGCCTTCACCTTGTGTTCTTTAACCCAGTCTCTTATGAACACTTATTATATAAATTAACTTCCCAATAACTGTTCTCTAATCTGAGATCTAAAGCAAGAGTGGAAACAAGAAGTATCTATGTAAGCCCTTCCTTAAACTGTTCAATGCATAAGACTTGTTCGCCAATTCCCTACTTTAGATATTTCTGTAACGCCAACCATTTATTCTTTTCCAGAAGCGGTAGGTCAGGAACATGTACTAAATTTTAGTGCTCGGAGATATCAAATTCTCAACTGTTCAAATGCTTGCAACTAATGATGGTTCTGCAAATTCTTTTCAGCGCCATCTTACTCATACCTGACTTAAGCTGTTATATGTCTTCGGCTGTCCCGCCGTACAACTTTATCGTATGATCCGTCGGTCCTACTTTCATTGATGTGAAACATGCATCCTACATCCAATATCAGTTTACCTGCGCTTGTGGTTTTAGAAACGTGGGACACACAACCAGGTGTCTGTCTAAACGCATAGAGGAGCACCGTCCAGCGGCTTTGCGGAACGGTATCGTTAGTCGCACCAAGAGTTCCATGCTGAAACATCTGGTGGAAAGCGGACATCGAAGCACAGCACATTTTACAGTACAGAACCGGTACACTAAAGGTCTTAGGGAGCAAATATTACAGACGGCTGAAGCGAACGCTATTAGGATAACACAACCGGAATTATGTAAACAGTAGGTTTTGCTACAAGGGCTTCTTCTACCTTGGCCTTAGTTTGCTTACCAACTTGTATCACTTCATGCGCTGACAGAGATCGCATGATGTGCTGGGCATTCGACCGGTCAACCAACACGTACTCTATCACATGTGTAGTTAGTCGACGTTATCGATCGACTTTTGAATTTTTGACTGTCGTGATTCTACAATCCCCTCATTGGCTTCATCAGCTCTTTGTGGTTCCATTTGCTAACTCTAAATGACTGAAGAGATTTGTCGAAAAGTGTACTCCTCACAAACTCGTGTTCTTGCATTTCCATGTGTGTAAGTCACGAACATGCTATTTGTTTATTTATTATCGTTACGGTTCTTATTCCTATTAATTTTCAGTGTTTATGTTCTTCCTTATTTCACTGTTGGCCACATGTACGTCGGTCTCCTGAAGTGACGGATTAAACCTTCCAAGCTAACTTAGTATACCCACGCAATTCGCATTGCCACTGACTCCCTGGTGTGTCATAAAAGGTGTCATGGTTGAAAGAGCCGCGTGATGGAAAAGGCTGAAGACTTCATCGCCTATAATGTATGCAATCATTTCATCAAACTCGGAGAACCGATCAATAGGTGAGTATAAAAAAGCTCTAAAATTTGTGAAACTGGTGATGGCTTGAATGCTATTTTGCCCCACCGGTAAACAGTCAGGTGGAGCATGGAAGTGCGAGTGAAACCTCTGCGTGGAAATAGGTCCGCTGGAGATGCTTCCATGGATGGCCGTAGTACTTTACTTGATTATTTGGCTATATGTGCATTTGTTATGGTTCGTAATTTACACTATCTTTCTAATACACCTAAGTTGTCATTTAGTCCAAAAATCCGGGAAACTGCTTGCTGTGTACGATCCCACTCCACATATAGATCAAACCATTTAGTTTCGATTGTGCCTCACACTGTCGAGGAATATACCTCTTGTTTATTTAAGCAGTACGTCAGGCCAGAACCTACTTATATAGTCAAGAGCTACGGTATACTCGTGGATGAGGACGCTGTCCAAATTATCAACAAACTAAAATAGTTAAATCTATGATGATAAGTGCGGCTATCCAATTTGCCTGACCATCGTAGGAAATGACTGGTTCTCGAGATTGTGCAAACTTGAGCTTTTGAAAAGCATTCGAATACCGACGATAGCCAAAAGCTTCTGGCATGGGTTGGTTTCAAGGAACTTACTCTAGTGGGCACTTGTTGTCAAAGAAGCTCCTTCGTGATGATAATAAACATGTAATGAATAAATTGGTTGGTTGATTTTGGATCATAGCTGAATTCGCTGTGGTACTCGAATGGGCTATAAGGAGCTACTGGTTTCTGCTTTTAACTTGGCCTTCATTTTTAGATCACTGATCATCTTCGCCTGCGGAGGAACCAGCGACAGTCTGCGCTGCATCGTCCACTGCTTCATCCACGCATCCCATTTGCGGTATGACGCCAAAGAAACAAGGAGATGAAGCATGCGAGATGTTGCCCCAGTTTATCCCGGGCCACCCGCATTCTTTCAACTAGCACATTTCGGATGCGAAATTGTAGTAAGCGTGCACTCCGATAACACATAAGAGGATACTAGCCCTTTTCCACCGGAACCACCTCGAGCCGAACAAACTACTCCGAGATGGTCCAAAATCACCCAGTCTTGGGTAGCTAACAGTCAAGTGTATCTACGAAATGGGAGAGCAGGACAAAGTATCTGTGCTTTGGGTTCGTCTGGAACCACCCATTGTATGAATGCGTTACCACAGACAATCGCAACCTGGATCGGGATTTACTTTAGGATAAACCATTATCAGTTAGGCCACCGGATGCGTGCTGAAAATGTACCCCGTTCATTCCATTTCACATGGTATATGCAGCTGAAGCAGCTGATAATTTCGGCGCTTTCCGTTCCATCTAACGTTTACATCATCACAAACGGAAGCTGTAGATTGGGGTAAATTAACGTGCCCTTCTCCTTACTGGGTGAAATGACCCGCCGTTTTCAATGCAGTGTCTAATTTTGCTTTCAGTGGCATTAAAAGTCGGAGCAGCTTGGGAGACACATGCCTTCAGGTGCATTTCCCCGCAGCATGTACCGTTCCAGCATCGACCGGGGCATTCAACCGGTATAAGCGAGTGAAGGATGGGACGCCAGAACTGCTCCTAGCTTTTCGCTACTTCGCGAACCCACCCACAGCCAAATACTACCAATGGTTTACCTTGAATTTATTGTCATTACCCTGAGGAAGCAATTAGCGCGTTTGAATGCATATGCTAGTCACGCAAACCACAGAACAGCGATACATGACGTGATTGCAGGAGAGTGACAAAACGGGAACTAACCTCATTGCGTTTTTTATGGCACGCGTAACGTGGCTTATGCCGTCGGCCCAATGGTACACAAGGTGTCATAGTTACCGAAGTCAAAGAACTCGGAAACTTTCGATTTAATTGGTTACCCCATTAGTTGCAAATGGAAGGCACAACGTTCGTGATAACTGGCAACAGCGGGAGCTTTAAAGCCTTCGAGTTCTACCTAGCCTTGTCGTGTGATAACATGCGTGATCGATATCTCCTTCGGGATGGCTTAGCTTAAGAGAATATGCAATTACAGCTCCTGCAGACAGTTCAACTAGGGGGCTTTCCTCCTAAAATCAAAGCAGTCTTAAAGCGAAGTGGTCCAGGTCTTAAAATTCCCGTATGCAATTTGTACCTCAGTGTGCCTCCGTAACTGTAAGATTTGGTATTATACTGATTAATCAAAATTGTTAAAACGTGTCTTGTTCTAACCAAAGAAAAATACCTGGATCGCCAGGTTCACCGAAAGGTCCCGGATCGCCGCGTTCTCCTTTAATTCCAGGGATTCCAGGACGACCAGGTGGACCGCGATTGCCCTTCTCTCCCTCTCCAGGTATTCCGGCCATTCCTTTTTCACCCTTTGGACCTGATAAAGTAGAGTGAAGGAATGATATAAAAATTTTTGAGAGACTTTTTCTTCACGACCACCCTTAACCAGTCACATCAGCATCTCGCAGTCTAGTCGCACAAAAGCGGAGGTTAACCCACACTCCTCGTTGGATCCTTGAGATATTCGTGTCGCTGTTCTACGCTATCTCATTCAAATTAATGTTCAAGAATCACCGTGCGTGGGACAGCAAGCCATCATATACATACATTTTTCGCACCGGATCTGAATGGTCGACTGATTCTCAGCTTCCAGATTGGTTGTTGTTATGTCAGAGGAACGGTGTAATTCAGAGGAACGTTAAGTAAACATTCCTAACTGAGTATATTGGTTTCCCTGCGCATATGCACTGATATTTTCAGCGATTCTTCTTGTTAGCCCTATTGGCTGCCGAAAACCGATGTTTCTGGCTGTGGATTCTAGGTTTTCCTGACTCCAAAACCAGCGCTTAACTCTCCTTGATTACATCTGATTGGTTCTTAACTTGGCCGTTCCTAGGAAAGTTACTCGGTCGAGCAATTTCGGTGCTCTGGTGTGTCTGCACAGCTATGCGTCTGTTGGTTTTCTGTTATACATGCAGTCACTTTCTCCCATAATAAAAATCCTAATCTTTTAATTGCACTTATTACCAAAAGGCAGTGACATTAAATTGGCCGTTGCCGCTCTCCCCCAAAACATCGCTTTTTGCACTACCTACAGCAAACATCAATTTTATTTGAATCTTTTGATGAATTCTTTGGCTGCACAATTTAAAGGTCACTGAGGTCGCTCAACTCACCGGTTCGTTGACAAAGTATCCGAGGCACCGCGCAAAACTCGCGGTTTGCTGCTTGTATCCAGTTGAACTGAGCTATCAATAAACCTTTTAACAAACGTTGGCCTCGTCAACTAGAAGAAGGCTCTTATAATTCGTCCAATAAATGTGAGGTCGTTGCACAAAGATTCGGGACTGTTTACTTAAGTGATATCTGTGCACTCTACCCATTACGTTTTAAAATTCTTATCTTTATTAATGACGGTTATATCAAATTTGTGGTGGATAGAGCAAAATGCTGAAAATGTACCCATCTGAGTGCATAAAGCTTTTCTTGACTCCACTTGACTTGTAGGTCGGGGCAGCCGAGAAGGCAGACACAACATTGTGCGATGATCTTTCCCGTGTGGTGGACTCATGAGGACTAGCGATTGGTGCGCTGTTCCACAAATACAGCAACCACTTAGTCGAAGCCAGACTGATAGTATGGATTAATATGGAAGGAAAAATTAACCTTCTTGGCTGGAACGAAGCAATGTAAGATATTGCGTTTGTTTACGTGAAAGCGTCAAAATCTATCCACAGTGTAGAAATGTTCAACGCTGCAGTGCAGGAAAATCGTGTCAGGGAGTGCGCGATTCTGAAGGGCGCTTGCGGCTTTATGGTATCAAGCTGGCTTAACTAGAATTGACCACCTCACGTTCTCTCAGCATTTTGCCTGCAGAACTGTCTCGTTCATTGCGGCGTTACCAAGAAATTGTACAGATTCCGTAGGCGTATTGGAATCTGGTATTAGTACTCGAGACTCCGATAATCATCGTGTTAATGAAACAGTCACCAGATTCAGCGCACCGATCACCCACTGCCAAGCAGATGCCGCGCGTCCAGTAAAGTAGCCCACCAGGTCATACGAAATGAAACCGAAGCAACATTTGACCTTGCTACGTGCAATTAAGGGGCCCCGTCAGCACTCCCGCACTCAAGCTCACAGCCACGTGGAACCGTATTTTAGCAAATCATGGTGGGACCACTGACCACACCCTAGAGATAGCGTAGGCAAGGCTTCCTGCCAGAGTTCACGCCCTAACCCATTCTTGCCTCTATCTATATCCGCAACAAGAATAGGAAGCAAAAAACTCCATAAAATCGTGACATGGACCCTATTTCGAAATCACACTAAAAAGGCGCATGAAAATATGCCATTGTTCTCATGTCAACAACCCTCCAGTGAAATCAGTCAAAGCAAGAACTTATGACGCCAAACTTTCTGAACAGTGCTAACTCTCCACTTCAGCCCAGCGAGGCAAGACATACGGGATGTAGGAAGTCGAACGAAAATATTCTGAGCAAGTGTCCTTCACACAGTGGATTGGGGTTTAAGCTTCTTGTTTATAGTGTAGTGCAAAGGCGTTACGGTACTCATTAACTGTTCGTTGGCACAAGTGGTGAACATGCCTCAGCCTAGCATGTGGACTCATCTAACAGACAAATAAGTACGCGGTACATTCACCTTAACCGGTGACCCAATGAGCCGACAACCGGCAGGGTCAAATAAGTTAGTAGCGCGTCCAAAGGAGTCCAGTGACGGGGGGCAGCGGCAGGTAAACGCGCTTCGCTGAGTGGTTAAACCCAAACCACCCGATAGGATAACGAATGAATACACCAATCCATGTACTAAGACATGCGGAACGTGAATGCTAAAGTGTAAGTGGATGGTGAGTCCATGGGCTGTTGCATTTAAAGGAGGTGATTGACGCGTATTTAGTCTGATTATGTTATGGATCAAGAGCCTAGACGCCTCGTCGAAACGGTGGCCAGGCCTGAATTAGGTCAAAACTCTACCGTGTGTTCCAAAAGAACCGTCCGTTTTTACTCCATTACTAGGTGAACAAGGTGCACACCATAGGGTGACACGGAAACGCACTAAACTGCCAACTGTTCAATGGTAGGTGTTAATCTCGCAACATTTCCCCACCCCGTCACAGAGGTGTGAACGACTGCATTGGTGGCAGAATGCCAGGCCAGTGGGCCTGCATCCTCCGTGCTGGTGTGCTGACGTCGGATGGATATGAGTTACCACACCGCTATTGGAATGCCAGGCCAACATGCCAGTATCGTCCACCGCTACAACGATGGATGGGCAGACAGAATAAACCGCACGAAGTCAGTGACTAATGCATACGCCGCAATAATTGGTTTTGGCACGTTTTATGGATATTCGTTAGGAGGCAGGTTCATAAGCTAGCCACAGCGATCCCTGTGTTGTCGTTGTGTTAGCAATGGTAGACGCGCACCCTCTGCAAGCGCAGTCTCGTAACGTACCTGCGGACCAGCGCGCGATCCTTCTACGCCTCTTTGGTGAGTGCCAGTCGAACGCGACCGAAACATCTCTCCGCTACAGTGCTATCAACTACAAAATGAGGCCCGTTAACGCCTGGTACGTGCGTCGACTTGTAGAGAAATGTGACGAAATTGGGAGCGTATGCCAAGCCAAAAGAACCGGGCGGCCTCGTACCGTCACGGATGAGGTGTCAGCTTGCGCTGTTGTAGACGAAGTATCCCGAAACAGTGATTTCAGAATTCGAAGAATGGCCCAACATTGTGCCACCACATCATTTGCTGTGCATCGAATATTGAAGGAACGAAAATTCCGAAAATAGCGGACACTGCAATTACAAGTTTTGAAGCCATGTGATTCGGAGAGGCGTCGGAAATTTTCTCGCTGGTATGTGCATCCCATTGATGTGCATTCAATCATGTGTAAGGATGAGACACCTTTCCTTCTGCATGACGCTGCTAAGCGACAGGTGTGGGCAACCAACAACCCACAACAATGCAGCGCTTCCCGTGTGCAACATGGCGCACAGCTCATGGCATGAAATGGTTGACAGGCCAAAAATTATCGGACCATTTTTCTTTTCTAAGGATGTGACTGGTAACTTGATATTTTAACAAAAGTAATGCTTTACATGTGTTAGCGTCATCCTGCATAGCAATGTTGCAGACCTGCGTCATTCCACAGCTGAAGGCCGAAAGGTTCTTGTGTACCTTTTGGTGGCAGCAGGATGGCGCACCTGCACATTCTGCATAAACGGTACGTGAGTACCGTTTCGTGACTTTCCGTCATAGTTGGATCGATCAAGGAGGACAAATGGAGTGGCCTGCACGGTCACCGGATTTGAACCTCCTGGATTTCTTCCTATGGTGGTACTTGAAACGTCATTTTATGGAACCATGCCCACTTGTCTGGAAGAACTGCAACGGAGCATCGTCAACTAATGTCGCGGGATCTCGGTGGATACTTTGCAGAAAGTGCCAGCCAATTGTATCCGGCAAATGCTGCTCTGCAAGCAAACGATGGTGGTCATTTTGAACATCTGCCTCGTTGATTTTTGTGCTCTTGAAGCGTACTTCAAGTAAATTGCAATAGCGTTAATGATGCCGTGCTCATTGAGACCCATGCAGCTAAAAGTACTGGCAAGCTTAACGGTCATGGCAGCCGAATTGGCCGGTTCGTTGAATTAGATGCCAACTGCACAACTTTGGGTTACAGGCCCACGTAGGTTGTGAAAACGTGCCTTCTCACGCCAATCACCGGTGTGTCTCCGAAGATGGACTTTTTTGTCTAAGCATCCACTGTAATCCATCTGCTTCTGGTAACCAAATTCCTTAAGGATTTACGGGGTACGTGAAGTTGCATATGACGTGAAGTATGAGAGCACGGTTAGAGGAAATTTACGTGCGTGAATCTGACGGCGTTTCCACCAGGAACATGAGAAAGACGGTGCAGTAAACACGAGCATACATAACAAGGCGTCAGTGGCACCGCCGAGAGTTCACACCGCAACCTGTAATTCGGAATGAGTCGTTGTCATGCAGACGGCACTCAGAAACCAGATCACTTAAAACTTCCAATGAGGACATTAACCGGCTTCAACCTTCGAGTGTTCGTGAACACCGACTATTTTCGACACAAGACTTGTCGCCTCGGTGCGTTGTGTGCCGCTTGCAAGCTCCGACTCGATTTGACCCTTTTCGGTGTATTTACCTTCGGTCGAGTTTGAGTTTCAACACCTGGCTAAGCTCACGTTCGTAGCTTCATTTGGTTGGTGTCAGAGCACTTCACAGGCTGCCAAATATCTTCGCCCTTGGTGATGTTATATGTATTCATATGCCTCAGGTGCGCACACACGCGGTCGACGTATGTGCAGACATTATCCTATTGATTGGTTGGGGAGTAAGCATTCAGTAGATATACAGAAGCTGCTAACCGTTGAATTCGTTGGAATGCCTTACTGACTACATTGGTAGTGACTTGAGTCGGTCCATTAATGCTAGTTGATGATGTTTGAATTATGGACCCTCTTGAACAAGCAATCGATTCGTAAATCTGTCATTGTACCTTATCACTTCACTGACATTGGCCTTGTGATTCCGCTGACAGAATTTCAATATGCTTCTACAACAGTTATCCAGTTGTCATAATGGCTTACTCATGATGATTGTTACTGAAACGGTTAGATGTTGAAGTTGGCCATATAAGAATGAAGGTCAGTAGAATTCAAGCGTTATACACTCAAAGCTAAACAATATACTTTTGTAACAGGCTTCGCGTCGTGACCAGCTATGTCGCCCCCACTTACCCGATGGACCGCGATCACCCATTGGGCCGGGGTCACCTCTATCACCTTTCGGCCCCATTGGGCCAGGCAATCCGGGTGACCCTGAATCGCCTCGTTCGCCAGCGTCACCTGGAATTGAAATGAAGGAGGTGCTTGAAACACCAGCAACTGATAATGTTCTTGAGTGCGTGCTGATTAATAAATGGCATGTGCTCGGGACACCGGATTGTGTATGGAATTTCACACATATCAGACAAGACGAGAGATAGGTGTCGTTGTCCGTCTTATGTTAGGTAGCACTTAACAACCTACACTCTACCGGGGACTGCTTTGATTTCAGTATTCCAAAGCGATGGCACATTGACTGCTAGCTAGGTCGAGTTGGTGACACTGACTCCACGGCGTGGCCACCTTACTGCACCACCACCAGGTCGCTCTTGATCGGGGGAGGCAACAGCCTTTGATAACAGCCTTTGAGTAATTGCAACTACCATTCTGATGTGGAACTGAACCAGGCGATCCCAAAACAGGATTGGCTGGCACCTAGTTGTTGGAGAATAATACATAGGCAGCCCCCGTAGAGGAATAGTTGGTAGTACCAGGTAGATGAAGACATTCGTATGCTAATATTTAACACTAGCTTTACTTAAGGGTAAGTGGACTGAGATGGGTCCAGAACAAACTTCAAACACCAACATGGTACCACAACATGCTTGGTTTTCCTATACGTTTATGGCGGTGCTGTTTGTCTGGGAATTGGCACGCCTCGGTTTCTCGCCCGGTTGCAAATCGTTACAGCTACTTCTATTATTCGCAGGCGATGAGAATTGTTTTGAACAGTAGCTCGGGTTGACTATTCCGTTGTTCATTTGTTCTCCGAGGTTGGTACTACGGTTGCATACGTTTTACCATAATGCGAAGTGGCATCCTCAGTGTGGTGATATGTAGGGCGCAATGTTGCAACTGAATTGCCAAGCTCGGCGAACAACGAATAACTAAATTGTTGTGGCCGGCTTCTAGCATTCCGCATATAATGTAGCTTCATGAGAGAACAGTGGAAGTGGTATAACTGAGATTTCTGTACGGTCTTTCGTTATAACGTATGATCATCGAGATTGTGCAAAGCATACCTGGGTATCCAGCAGGACCTTTCTCTCCTGGTGGACCAGGAGGACCGGGCATACCCTTCGGACCACGAATTCCATCATCACCGGGTTGGCCCGGAGGCCCATCATCGCCTTGCTTGCCCTTCTCACCCCGGGGGCCCGGTTCACCTTTTTCACCGCGGTCACCTTTCTCGACTGCAATGAGACGAGGGAAAACGAGCAGTTATTACAGTAACCGGTCGAAAAACACAGCAGGACCATTTCGTGATCATTGGGCAAAGCAGTGATATATTCCATCACACTCACTTGTAAGGTTTCCGCTTTGAAGCACGTTCACAGTGCAGTTACCGGGTCTACCTGGGTCACCCATTTCACCAGGAGAGCCAGGTTTTCCAGGCTGTCCTTTTTCACCTTTCAGACCCACGATAACTTCGGCTGGCGCCCCTCTGTAACCCTTCTCACCAGCCGAACCCTTTGGTCCTTTGAGGCCAGGAGAGCCCTGGGGACCCGGTTCTCCCTGCAGTTGAATAAATACGTATATATAAGGAGGCATGTCGTTTAAAAGACCTTGTAGTTTTTTCCTTAGACCAGTCGTGGCTCGCAATAATAATAATTAGAGCACAATTTGAACAAAGGTGGATTATCAATGTTTAAGTACTACGGTCTGGAGGAACTGGTACACATTGGTATGTTAGTCTACAAGTATTCGAGAGAAGCGAGAATTACTGTCAACTGGATCGTCGGATGATATGGCGCTGTTAGCATTGTCACAAGTTGAGCAGGAGGCCGACCATCTAGTTGCCTAAATTCGGTTGCATTGTCAATGTCTCAAACAGTTGGCAGACTTGTTCTGGCACTTTCACACTAGTTGGTTCTCAAGCTTTAATAGAGCCGACTCGAATATATCATGCTAGGATAGGAGTTCTTAACCAGGGGATATAAACTCTCAAAGGGTAAACTGACATTTTAAGGGGAAGAAATTTTATCACAAGGATTGGGTAGCAAAACAAGGTTAATAACAAAATCATCTGTATCAAAACAGGTACCTAACTACCTATTCACCATTGATTAGCCATCAGTGACTATAGCCATCAGGCATTGCGACTAGATGACGCTTCTATCGGCTCCTGTGTTTATGGTTGTTGGCTTGAGTCAGGCCGCCGTACGACGGGTTGAATTACAGAGCCCAATGAACACTAAAATTGGAGCATAGGTTCAGCCGACCATGTAAAGTAGTGAGCGAATATTTACAATTTAGAATGGTCGAAAATGGCGATTAGTGCTCAAAGAGTGCTGGTGGTAAGCTGGCAGAATGAAACACATGAGAAGCCCCTGACATCTGCTCATGTGTGCTCCGGAATCAGACACAAAAAGGTCATAAGATGCCTTGAATGGAGATAACAGCAAGCGTTTCGAAGTGCACAAAAGCATTGAGTTTGGAGTCACACAACAGGCGCACGTAGAGCAGCTTGGACGCCAGTGCTCATTAGGTGTTGGGTTGCTCACATTCATCTACGGTTGTTTTGATCAAAATCCATGGCAAGTGTGCGAATTAATTCAATGCTTTTCAATATCCATAATAAAAAGTTTATCTGTAAACGTTTAAGAAATATCAACTACATTAACTCGTGTATATATATATATATATATATATATATATATATAATTTTTTGCAGGATCCATGTCCGCTGGACAAAAGCGGTCCTACAGAGAACCTTTTCTGCATGGGGACTTCACTAATTTGGTCGATAACAATTTTGAGAAACCGCTATGTGTTTTTTGCAGCAAAGTGCTCACGGCGGAGTGCTTGAAATCCAGCAAATGGAACGAACGCTTTAACGAACTCATTCACATTTTGTATAAAAATATATTACATTCTTCAAATGGAAAGTCGCGCTGAAACGTTTGCGCCTGGATCCATTGAGATCTTTTGTTCAGTCGACTGAAGCTAGTCTTAAAGCTTCATAACGCATCGCTCTTCAAATCGCCGAAAACAAGAAACTGCATAATATAGGCTAGGATCACATCAAACCTTGCATTGTAGATGCCGTTATGCCCATTCCTGGAGAGCAACTTGCGGAAAAGTTAAGTATCATATCACTTTCTAACAGCACCATCAAAATCCGCATCTAGGACATAAGCACAATTATTTTGGACAGGGTGCTTCGTGAAATAAAGTCAAGTCCTTTTTTGTACTGCAGTTAGATGAGTCGACCGACGTCGCATTTTGTCCTCAGCTACATGTCTATGTTCGGTACATAAAAGGTGACGGCTTTAGACAATAGCACTTGTTCTCAAACATTGAGCACAACTACACGCGGCGAAGATGTCTTTTAAATACTGAGAGATTTTGTCGAGGAAAAGGGGCTATAGCGATCGAAGTTAGCGGGTGTCTGTACAGACAGAGCACTTTCCATATCCGGCGTCCGTTCTGGATTGCAAAAAATAGTTAAACAATTTGCTCCCCACTCTATCTTTAGCCACTGCATCATACATCCATATGTTTTAGTAGTGAAAACTCTTCCTCCTGCTTTGCTGGACGCGTTAACCAAGATAGTGAAAATAGCAAATGTCATCCGCGGTAGTGCGACAATTAGAAGAGTTTTCAAAGAGTTGTGCAATGAATTGGAAGGCAGATGCGACTTGTGTTGCTGCACACAGAACTGCGTTGTTTATTACGAGGCAAGGTGTTGCACCGAGTGCTCGAGCTTCGCGAAGAAATATGTGTTTCATGCAAGGAAGGAGCTTCGTAAGGGTAAGGAGAACGAGTTATACGCAGTAATAACAGATTATGTGTTTATTTCTAAACTGGTATATCGTGCGGATTTCTTCGGAGAAATAGATGCGCTGAACCTCAGCTTGCTAGGAAATATGACGAATATTTTGACTGCTCATGAAAGTGTTGCCAGTTTTCTCCACAAATAGCAGTCTTATCAGCGTAGAGTTGGTGTTGGCGACTTTTCGATGTGCCCAGAACTAACAATAATGCTGGTTGAAAGGAATACAAAGCACATTCATAGATTAATGAAATCCACTTATCATCAGTTGTAGATTCTACCAGTAACTATTTGCTTGATTTAGGAACTCGCCAAGTAAATGTCTGGGTGCTAAGACCCTTTTCAGTGGGTGAAGGGATATTTCCACTTACTGAAATCGAGGCGAAAACACCATTCTTAGGAATTCGCGATAATGCATCGAAAATAGATTTCCAAGGCACACAACGAGCAGCATTTTGCGCAAAGATGGGTGATGAGTATACATTGCTGTCGGATAGAGCAGTGAATGTACTGATGCCATTCGCAACAACTTGTGGGTGTGAAGGTGGACATTGATGATAATAAAAACAAAGGCAAGGAGTCGAATGAACTTGGAGCACCGACTTACGATGTGCATTAGTTGAAACTGCACCAAACATACCAGAAATTCTTAGAACTAAGCAATATCAACCGTCTCATTGATGTATATTGTCACTTGATTTCATAAAGTTGCACAGAAATAACTGTTTTCTTTCTTTCAATGATCCAGCGTGATTACAATGGCTATCATTTCCCGTAATTAAAAGCAACAAGTGCGATAGCTATACGTTAACTAGCTTTGGAGACGGAAATGTGTTTTGGGGGGGTAATTGATCATAGGAAACCCGGTTTGTGAGTAACAACCTCAAAAAGGTTAAGAACCGCTGTGCTAAGAGGTAGGACTCCGTGCTTTCAACGATCGATTTTCCACTTGGCGTCAGGTAAGCGATGGAGTGTGTGATAATCGGAGCTCCGAAACATGATAAAATATGCATGGGCCTTAACTTGCAGATAGATGCGTTGAATTCGCCACTGATATATCCTTTCAGTTGCTAACCCAACTTTGGCAGCGTAAAATGACTGTCAGATGCTTCGTTCCCGCTCGTAATATGACCGCAGTAGTCGACAGAATAGGGCGGCGCCCTTTCTTTGCGCCTGGTGGTTAATGATGTTCTGTACCAGCGAGATACCAGCTTAGTAACAAGATTGACAAATTCCCCGTTACTTGCCGAGTCGATTTGGGAACGCAGACTCAACATCATGAGTGACTATGGCAAGAGGGAATTAAGATGAATGCCATGGGTGTAACATGTAGTTCAGCAGGGATGGGATCTTTACAAAAGGTGCACGTCCTCCAAGTATGGTAGTTGGTGGCCCCTATCTCTCCACGAGCAAACTGCTTCCCTTGCTGTCCAGTGGATAAGGATTCAATGCGAGTGAAACACTTAGATCCGCCTTCTGTTGCGGTTATTGCGGCCAATAACTAATCAACCCCTCTAAACTCCCAGAAGTTTCAAGAAGCAGGAGAAACTTATAAGTACATCCTCCATCAAGCACTGCTAGCCCACCAGTTTCACTTTCTTTTGCAGATATTCCCAGTAGTCAGGTATGCCAAAATGGGTGCGGCGGTAGCAAATCGGAATTACTGATTTCCAAAACCACATAAAGTCATCCGAGCTTTAAGCTAGGAACCCACAAGATGCCTTGGTTGATGCGTGTTCACACCTTGGAGATGTTTGTCATCTCAAAAATCCCAAACCGAGACCACTACTCCTGTCAACAAGCTTTGGCTTCCATTCGCCTACACCTCCGATTTCAAGTGTCATCAACTTGAAACTGTGCAACCCAGCTGTAACTCATTAGGTAAACGTGGATGTCATCCGCAGTGAAAGTACTGAGAGTATTTTACGAAAAAGGATTACAGATACTAACTGAGCATGTGCTGTTAAGTGGAATGGCCCATAGAGAGTGATTGAAAAGCAATATCTACCAAGCACTGGTTGTGCCCTGTGAGTGCACGTCAGGGGATTGCAGCCAAGACAGCCTCCGTGACCTAGTGTTACCTAGTCTTCTTCTTACTAATATACCCAGCAGTGATATTGCCTCTGGGCTTCGCTTAGTTACTCGTACCAGCAGAGCAACGAAATTTTATGATCCGGTGTGATTTAGATGCATCGTCGACCAGACAGTATGAACAAACCTTGCTGCTCCTAAGCACCGACTGCCTACGCTCTAAAAGGCATCCAACCGATTGGAGTCATTTTTATCGACACGGTCACAGTCGGGAACTGATCTCATCACCTATACTTACAGCGTTAATATCTTATGTTCCTTCTTAGGTCCTCATAAAGGTGCAATCTAGAGGCTACTAGGAGAAGTTCAATGAGTCATTCATGGGAGCAGAATTAAGTGAAATTAGTGGCCACTCTGGTCTGCATCACACTAGGAAGTGCATGTTACCACTGAACAGATTGCTTGGAGTAGTAGACGGGATGGAAAACATAGCGGCAGCACAACACAGCAGCTTTTATGGAACCATTCAACAGAGGACAATTAATATTCACGGAGCCAAGACATCGGATTCACAGACTTATCAACATCATCATTATCAGCACCATTATCCTCAACAGTCACAGTAACAACAACAACGACAACAACAACCACCTAAAAGCTAATGTACTGAGGCTTCCTGGACGTACGAAACCAGCGATCCAAGGATTGAAGAATATCAAGCGGGAAAGAAGAGGGACCGAGCGTGAAAGCTTAATGAAGCAATCAAACACTCATGGGCAAGGCGCCTACATGTTGCCAACAACATACGGTCATGAGCAGCTGACTTTCAGGCGAAAATAAGGCAGCATCAATAAGACAACTTCCTTGTTGCTTTCACTGCCACGGGCCATAAATGGTAATCGCGCCGTAAAGATAACTGAGCGTCTGACACAAACTAACCAGGCAGTCTGACTAGGAGACGACAGCAGACGTGCCGCTGAGTCCACTGCGAGCCGTGTTCCGCAGATGGACCACAGAAGCTGGTGAGCTGAAAGAGTTTCTAAGGAGGAAGTGGCATTATATGAGGATTCACAAAACTATTCTTACTAATCCAAGCCACCTACACCAAGTTCTGATTTCAACAAAGCGAAGTGCGAAACTATCATCTCAAGCTTATGAACAACAGAGACGATTAAAACATTGATCTGGACGTACATGCACGCCTTATCTATCTGCGCCAATGGTATTATATCGTATTCCTACCTTGGAAATTGTCCCGATAGATTGCGATGTAGAGATTCAGGTCAATTCTAAATGATGGTACATTTCCAAATAACACGTAAAGCTCGGCTGTAGTGTTCTGTTGTGTTGTCCGTAAGATAAAAGGCCATGATAGTCAAGCTCAAGCTTCTGCTCAAAGATGGTTTTATGCAAAAAATACAAAGTTTATATGTGATCATTGATCGAAATCTCTCTTTTTGTCTCACCGCTGGTCCTTCGTATCCCCGATCGCCTTTTTCACCAGGTTCACCAGCACCTCCTTTAATTCCTTTAACTCCTTTGGGACCGTCAACACCAGGATATCCTTTGGGTCCTTTCACGACTCCTCGGAATTCAGTTCGAGTCTCGCCTGGCTCTCCTTTGTATCCCTTCGGTCCAGGAATCCCTCGTTCCCCAGGATCGCCCTTAGCGGGTTAAGAAGTGACACATGCGATTAGCAATCAAGTAGGTTGGCTTGCACGAAATAAAATTACAGAAATCGCTTATTGAAATCCTTGTTGGAAGCAAATGACCAAACCATTACACCGGATCTCGGAAGTACGCCTTGTATGTGTCAGATGTACAACTTGATGATATGCGAATGGAAGCGCTAGCCTTGGGGATCGATTACAAAGTTACTCCCAATAAGCTAAGTCGATAGTTTGTTGAAGCATCGTTTGAGAACTTTTTCGACCACGTAGCTGAACTCCAGTCATCCAGCCATGATTCTGTCAGTTGATTTAAGAATAAGCTGACTGACATTCTTTATGAAGTTCTCATGATATCAGTGAACGAAAAGTGCGTGCTTACAAGCAGTCATTCAAAAGCGCTACGAGAACTGAAGAATTAGGGAGTGGTTACAATAAAGCTGGACAAAGGTTCAGTAGCATTCGTCGTGAACAAGAGAAATAACGTTCAAAAATGCTAAAGATTCTAAGTGACGAAAGCAAGTTTCCACGTACTGGCCGAATAGAAAGCCTGACAGAGGTAGAAGCCCGTGTAATTGACGAAACCACTTACAGGACCTTGAAGCCGATCGGTTTATCAACACCAAAGCTATACGGGCTACCAAAGACTCATAAGGATGGCATGTTACTAACAGCCATTTTGTCGATGATAAATTCCCAGCAGCACAAAGTGGCTAACTGGTTAGTTCGGATCATTTTGCCACTGAGGCAACACTTCAGTTTGCGCGCACTAAGGACCCTTTTGAAACAATCAAAGACCTAGGACAAATCAGCCTAACCGACAAGGTTATGTGCTCAGTGGACGTCCAGTCATTATTAACTAATGTCCCTTTGGATGAGAGTTGATTGCATTTACCACCTGATAGGCGGGGAGAATTTCCGTCTACCAATACTGACAGACCTCCTGAGACATTCCCTGTTACGTTGTACGGAGAATGTTGTCTTCCGATTCCAGCACACTTCATATCGCTGAGCTGATGGAGTGGCTATGGGTAGTCCGTAGGGCCCCGTACTGGCTGGTTTGTTCATGCTGATGCTTGAAAGGAAACTGAGTGGAGAGATTTCTCAGCTGCTGTGTTACAAACGATCTGTAGATGAGATCTTTATTTTTAGTTTCACGAGAAGGCAAATCGAACGATTTGTAGACCAACTTTATAGTGTTTAAACCAACCTCAAGGGGATTTTTAAATTCGAATCGGATGGAGGTCTTTTTATGTCTTGGCATTCTCATGTCGCAGTGATAATTAGTTCATTAAACGATCAGTATACCGGAAGCCAACATGGTCCGGTTAACACTTACACTTCACCAGCTTCTCACCGATGGCACACAAGCGCGCGCTGGTGAAAACACTGTTCACTCGAGCTAGACCTATCTGCTCCAACGATTACCTGACTGAGGTATTTGAGCTAATCCCAAGAAAGCTTATGGAGAATGGTTACCCAAAGCGGTTCATCGCCATAGTTAGGTTAGACCGCCTAAAGAAACGGTCTTGACAGCCACAAAGAAATAGGTACACAGCGAGTTACAGTTCAAGGGTGACATCACAGCAAGGAGAACTAAACACATAGTCTCGGTTATTCAGCGTATGTACTGTGTCGCGTAGGCGGCAATTGCCAACAGAACGCGAAAGTTGCTGTTACCTTGATTAAAGGAAGATGAACCCGTCGGAGCCAAATCATCTTATGGGCACCAATTCGTGTGTGACTGTGGTGCCAGCTGCATTGGCAGCATCGAACCGGCTTTGGATTCCAGAGTGAAGGAACACTTACAAACTGGGTTCAACCCGGAGTCAATGGATCCCAGTCCAACGATACGTGCTCCCGTAAGCCGCCGTCGTCTTCCATAGGCAGGCACACTCTGGCGACTCGCCAGCGGATTAATCCCTTATCGGCGTTTCGGATCTTGTTGCGTCATACAACTTCACGCCAGTTGCGTTTTCCAAGACGGTCGCGATAAGCTGAATTCTATCGGTTTTATGTGTCCAAAAGCAACTAGTTATCAACCTGCGGTTGCCGTGTTCCTAATGCCAACAACAATGACCACAACCATGGAATAGATTGGCTTGATTGTGCGCTACGAAACTTATCAAAAGATTTTCCAGTTATTGTATTTGTACGGACGAGAGAATACGAAATGTCAGGATTTGATAATATTCGTCTTCTCATTTCGTTGTTCAAATTTAATAAAAATCAACCAGGCCGTTTGTAGACAGCCGTTAAAGTGAAGAGTATCTGATCCCTTTCAATCAATACAGTAACGCAACTAAAAGCCGTATACTTCTATTTACTAGTGACTCATTCGAACTCATCAACGAGGTTATCTATTGTGGACGTGACATGCTCCTATCCATTGCCGTAAAATCAATCGAGGTAGTTCGGTGTACGAAGGACCGCAAATGAGGACAGCTCGTCAAACAGTCTCCCTGTGGTGCCATCTGGGTGATTCGGGTTTACTGTGTTCCATCAAAATGTTCGGCATCAGTGCTCCAAGAGGTTGTGGGTTTCCGCCTGACAAGCATTCTCTCAATAAAAAGCCACCAAGATTTGTTTAAGAACGCTGCAACGTGGTAAATGCCATTCGCTTTCTTATCCGGATGATCCACTTCAAGGACGTCAGTCATCCACCTCAAAGCTTCTCTTTGCTCTCTTCTCATAAGGGTGACGTGATCTGACACAGTCAAAAATGCAGCAGCACGTTCTAAATTCCTAGTAACACAGCTACCTACATGGTTAGTTGCACCTGTTTCAGGATTTGCTTGTCACTGTGGCCTCCATGGGGACAGCCATAGGACGCCTGCGCCTACAGAGAGACTATGGGTGGCTTGCGCGGTGCCACTCTAAGTTCCATCAACACATCCCATATGCAGTGTAAACCCAAAGTACTAATATTGAGAGGCAGGTCGACGGGAGTCAGGTTCCATGAACGGAGTCGGCCCACAATTCTTCGACATGCGCAGCAGCACCAGCATTCCTGTCTAACTGGAGAATCATGCGTAGCAGATGTAGACAAGGAGATGGCTGGGTCGTAGCCCATTTCACACTGTGTGGAATCGCAATTTGTTCTTAGCATTGTATCAAGAATAGACTTGGTCACCAAAATGGCACACGCCGTCTCCCCGACTAACGGCCAACTGTCTCCCGGAGCCAGTTTAATCGAGGTAGTGGTTTTTCGACTGGTAAGCATCCTGTCAACATTCCCATCAAGCCCAGCCACAAGAAGGCAATCAACCAATAGCCAACACCCGAAACACAAGAAAATTGACAGACATGTACATGTAGAACAGCCCAACTGCAGCGGTGATTCTGTAGCATAGGTGCCACATCGACCGGGTTATGTTGTTAGCAAACTGGTGACATTTTTCTACATTTTCCGATCGTTCATTTTCCTTTTACCATGATCGTATCTATGCAGGCGTGACTCTTATCGTCCAGAATAAACTGTGATTTTAAATTATTTTTGCAACATTACCGAGACTACCTTTCCTCATTCGATTGCAGCCATAGCTCTTTCGAATTCCTCCCTAAGAAAACCCGTTCATCCATAGGCCTCTCAAGGTAGTCCTTAACGCTAGCAAACTGTATGCAACCGGCGCAAATGCTTCTGAACGCTACAGATTGACCACAGATTGACCAATCTTAGATCAGCCGGTAGTATCTTACTCGGTGTGCTCATATGTTACGCTATCGGCTGAGTTAGGTTGGCCAGTCGAAAAAATACACCTTTTTCTGAACGTTTACGCCCATTGGATGCAATTTGATGGCGTCAAGGATCATCTTGGGATATGTATGGAGGAACGTGATTTCTTTAGAAATGAATTCGAAAGTGCTATGGAAGCAATTGCGTGAGAAAAGGTATATCCTTCATGGCACCAGACTGCTCGACTGTCTAAATTTGCGTTGCACCAGTCAAGATAAAGCAACCAATCAATAAAATAGACACACATGAGCAGCCGACACGTGTCGTGAGAGCCTCTTGCACGACTGACTCATCTTAGCGACGGACAGCCCGTTGTTGCAGACGCGGCAAGACGTGAAAAAAGCTTCAGTGAGTGAAATATGGATACTCCATCCATTCTCGTACGAGACAAAACGCTGGGGGAGGCGTACTAAAAATGGATTTTGCGGACCTGTTAGACCTCTTTGTTTCTTGGATCTCGAGCTCGCCTGGGCTGCGGGTTTCTCTCATCCGATCTATGAACAGACCCGACACGAGCTGTAGCCGCTAGGCACAGAAACACAAATTCACTTGCTAAAATTCTTCCATGATGGCGACTTGCTCATCATTGACCCATCCAATCTAGTCAACGGCTATCGGTGCGCCAAATGAAGGAACTGTATACGTGTTTGATCCGAGGTAAGTATGTTTAGTCTGAATTATAAATCATAAAGCCTTTCAGTATAGCATAAGAAGGGGGCTAACAATGCATTTTTACAAAGTAGATGCAAAGCAAAATTTTTGGCAGTTTACGTGCTCCATCGACTATGTCTAATTGTTGATTGCTACGACTATGTGTGATGGACAGAAATAATATCAAGGCTAAGCTCTCGTAAGCTGTAGTTTTTCCAGAAAGCCACTTACTTCGTATCCTTGCGGTCCAGTTCGTCCTGGGTTGCCTGGTGTGCCCCGGTCACCACGCTCACCTTTAGCGCCATCCCGGCCCCTGGAACCAGGGGAGCCAGGAACACCAGTGCTACCCTTCTCACCCTTGGCACCATAGGCACCCGGTTTACAGGGGTGACATCGTTCCCCGGGCTCACCTGGAAGGGATCAAAGATTATGCAAATGGCTGGGGTCGTCACCTCACTTTAGAAACAAAATAGAACACCCAACGGGTTTAAAACCCCTTTTCGCCTTAGACTCAAGGCTAGAATAAAGAGTCGATTGACTACCTTAATTTTTATGCGGCTGGGCGAAGATGAAACCAGTTTAGACCTCGGTGTAAAATAGCGTTCAGAAGCAAGTGGGCGTCATATCCTTCGGCACGACATTTGACATCGACAATTGATGATCGATTGTGTAACAAGAAGAGCAAGGATGAAGTGCAGTTAGCGTAATAGGTGTTTCATCATGTGCTGCAATCCACTTGGTGGGACGACCACAGAACTTTGGCCGCACAACACGTCAACAGGTGAATTTTTATAACAATGCAATGGCAGGATACGCTGGTTCACCTCTAGCTTGCGCAGGGGTATGTCAAGGAGCGGGGTAAGCTGCGACAACCTTCCTGGATGTGCAGGGGAGGCGGACAAGGCAGGTGAACTCCCATTCGGGCGCCGCAACAAGAACTCTCCACGGTCACGTGGACAAGACCATGCTGGATAACGCTGCGTGGTTTGGGTGAAGGCAGTGTCAACCTAGTGGGAAATAGGTGTAATGGTTGCCCTCAGAGCAACCTCCTTGATGGGATCTTGCGTCCTCAAACCAGTAGGAAAAACATCCGTAATTCCAAGCCGAAGACAGAAAAGCCGGTAAAAGCAAGTACGATGGGCAAATCGATTAATGCCTCTGTATGATGAAGATATTCTATGTTCATTACGGTTGTTGAAGGTGGGCCCCAACAATGCTCTAAGTTGAACTGCTGTAAGACCCAAACGGACAGTGCAAACATGCGCGGTGTCGGCAGTCTCGCGAAGCCTAGGAGTGGGAAGCATGTGTCAGACTGCAATACATGTGCACTCCTATGTCAAGAAACCAGTCCCAGACTACTAACCCACTCAATGAACGAGGAATCTTTAGGCTGAGTTGCGATACCTCACCGGTTACGTAACTGTGTCGTGATTGGATCGAACACATATCCTTACTCAGAATTCCATCTGGAGAAGGCGTTTACAGGCAGCGAAGCATGGTAAAGTTCAAAGGGCGGGACACTGACCATACCTCGCCATGCTAAGATGACTTAGGCGGTTTGCACTGTTTTTGGATTTGGTTTGTGGTCGATGCGTGAAGTCATTTATCTACAGACGGTGCACCTGACTGGTCGACCCGTGCCGAAGCTGTGCGGAAATCTGATGCCGTTTCATAACCTTAACGTATGTACAGATCGTTTGACGATACACCAGCGCTCACAAACTGCACGGATGCTTGTTTGTTTACTACCCCGGTGGTAGCACCATGCGCTACTCTTCTTTGATAATTGCTTCTACTGCTGCCTGGGATATCTTGCCGGATGGGCTCCTTTGAACAGCATGTCATGGCTAATAATGCAGTACCGAGGTATACACCTAGTTAACTGAACAAAAAATGAACTCTGTGTTCACAAACTCCAGGAGTGATGGTTTGCTATGGAAGTCTTTAGAGGGGCTGTGGTGAATAAAATAGAGCTTAACCCAGTTTGGGTTGGACTTCAAATGTCTGTGCATTGAGAAGACACCGAATGCACAGATACAGTGTGCATATTTGTTTGATGAACTTTCTCTCGGCAAATCCCCGTGCTTCACCCATTTCACGATCAGCAAGCTCCCCGTCGCCGTTACGCCCTCCAACTACGGAAGAATGTTAAGCAAAATTAGAGCAATGTTCTAATAGTCAAGCAGCACTCATGAAAATAAAATCAGACATCACCTGAAACGCACGATCGATCAAGTTCCGTCGGTATTAACAACTTCTGTCATTATCAGGGATACGATAACCGAACATCAACGTCCTGTATCAATCGCTCAAAGTTCTCTGATTGAGCCCAAGTTCACCGGTACATCAGTCACATACGCAGACGTTACTACATAGGTCAACCTCACGGTCTGTTCTGTTACAGACACCGCTAATGTAAATACAGAAACAAACAGTAAACAATCATCACTTGACAGAAAGCCAGGACCATTGGTCACAGAACGTTGAACCTCAAGGACAAAAGGATTTAACAACAACGCCTTGACTGTTGTGTGCATATTATCCCAGAATCCACCGCCATAACATTGCGGGGTAAATTGTCCGACGACTTACGTCAATGGAACTCGTTGTGCATTTTGACGAAGGTCGAAATCAAACACAAACTCAGTCGAGGTACTTGTTACCCGAAGTTTGCACACTAAGGCGATCCGCGACTCACTAGAGAGACACTAGAATTCGCCATTGACTTAGATAACGCTTTACTCTCTATGAGCGTTCTACAACACGTATCCTGTGGGGACGCATCTAACCTGATTTCTTTTGGAGCCCGCACCATACAGAAAACGACAAATCGGGAGAACACAGAAAGCAAAATCACTTAAACGTAATCTTCATCCTTCGCGTGCCAGAGTTTACTTCCCATGACTGCTAAGGGAGCAAAAACCACTTGCAACAGTGACGGTTTACCAGTGAGACATTTCTTGGATAACGCTGTCACGCTATCCCTCAAATGGTTACCTATCTCATTTAATTGTAGAGGATGCAGCTCAAGAATACTGAAACTCGCGGGTCCATCGGAGTAGGCGGTAGTGGAAGTGTTGTAGCATGGCGGAGTCGTGAGGAAACCCTTCCATCTGAACAGCAGTCAAAAGATGTGTTTGTCTTGCAGAGATCAGGTAGGAGATATTGTAAGCAAGAAAGTCCACTGATGATTAAACGTGAGTACCACTTATTCACTCGCTTACAAAAATCGGAAACAGGTCCAGATGATGAATGAGACGCACTTTAGCTAAAGCAAGCTGCAGGCGAAGTGTCACGGTAATAACCAGTACGAGTAATGGTCGATCTCTTACCAGTCAACATTCTCTTACACGTGACATTTTGGGTCTCCGGTGTGCTCCCAGAGACTGAGAACTTAGTCAACTTGTATACCAATGCCCTTTGCAATACCTGGCTGATCTGAAAGAGAGCCCAGCTTGTAAACTGAGTGATACCATCGGTGTTAATGAGACTTGGCTGCACGATGGTATGATGGACCTTGAAGTATCGCTACCGAATCGGTCGTTCCTGCACAGACACTAGCAGTATCTAAAAGACGGTTGAATGACGTAATTAGCCAAGTACACTTTGTTATTATACCGCATTATATTGCATTATACTGTTAGCAAATTTATTAAGTGTCGCCTAGGGTGACCAGAAAAAAAGCTTATACGAAAGAAGCGCACACGCAAATTGCAGACAGCAAAAAGCGCACAGACTTAAAAACGGACACGAAGATTGCGGACACAGAAGATTACACACACTAAAACTGAACACATTTTTCCCAGTTGTTAACATGGTCACGTATGGCCGCATTATTTATGTACTTTGCTTAGTACTCACATTAGCAATCCACGTCGCAGAAAACGACCTACTGGACATGCTACAGACAGTGACTACGAGACAATGAGACTTATCTTCGGTATCCGAATATATACTTCACATTACAGCCGCTCATACAACACTGCATCCGTGGGGAGAGGGGGGGAATTATTGGACACATCTCCAGCGCTTGTTCCCATCTTAAGATCTAGCTGTACTTTTCCTCTTCACAAATACCTGCTCAGCAGTTTAACAATCCCAACCATCACGGTATAGCCCACCTTACCCCGTAACATAAACATGTTACCAATAGATTTGAGAATACAGCCAATCGTAGACTCATACAAACGGTGTAAAAGTTTAGAATAGAGAATAATTCCCGTTTCAGTCAGGGAAAGATGGTCTAGCAAACAAGCTCCTTTTCAGTGATTCATCGTCAGGTCAAATACAACACAGTTAAATAGTTAAGATAAGAAAGAATGGAGTGAGTAGCTAGAAAATAGAGGTGTCAAAATGTCCATAATGGGTGTGAGTCGTCCACACGGCAGCTGTCCGTGCGACAGCTGGCCGTGGTAGAGCCAAGGATTTTACAAATTGTTTATGCACACAACATGGAGGGTTGTTGAGACGAATCGCGATCGCTTCCGCCAATACAAGGTTTCTGCACCTGATAAGCTAGGAATGGACACTCCTCACACGGTAGCTCGGGCGAAAGGTTTTGTTAATAAAGACAGGGTGGTTATTCTGCACTAATCCAGACTAATCACCGTGGCGTAAACAACAAAGCCTTTCGCCAGATCTACGATGTAATAGATATTAACAAGATTCCACAAAATTGTTTCCCACGCACTATTATTACAGTTGCACGAATGAACAACTAGGACTACGCATGCATGTCCACACGAATGTGAATCATGACCGACAGCGGCTGTTCTCGATTCTGCTTGTTACTGCGTCCTGCATGTGGACAACCATAGAATGCCTGCGCTTAATGAGAGACGGACTATGATTGGCTTGCGATACACCACCCATAGCTCCATTCACACACACCACATCCAGTGTACACCCATAGGAATAAGACCGGGAGGCTAGTGAATGGTAGTCAAGCTTCATCAACAGAGTCGGCGCACACTTGTTCAATATGCACAGCATTCCTGACGAAGTTGCGAATCAGCTGCGTACAGAACATCGCAGGCCAGATGAGACTACTAATTGGGCCTAGCACAGGCGCAAATGCTGTACACCCGCAATGGAGTGTGATCCACAAACCGCAAATAGGGACTGGGCATTGCTCACAAACGTAAGTTCGTTGAAGCCGCAACGAAATTGTGGGTGACACCCACTCTATATAAGCGGACGAAGTTCGTCGCTAGTGTCGCCTAGCCATGAAGATGTTGGTGACCGCGGCCACGGAGCAGGAGGCTGGACAGCATCAAAGACCTTTGAACGCCAGTGTTTGGCCGATGACGCTGCTATGTAACCAATTTAATCCACCAGTTCTATTTAAATGGTTGACACGAGTACGCGATTTGCCAAGTGGACTGCAACACACATCGCGGTTTTGTGTTGCACTGTTGCCTATGGAGTACTCCAGAAATCAGAAAGGCAACTTAGTTTTTGACATACTTGGGGTTTGAATACCCTGCTTACCACACTATCGGAGGAGTGGCAACTTGGAGATGTAGGCAAAACCGAGGTGTGAAGTGTCACCAATTGATGAAGGCACGGGACGGCATCATCTTGCAACAGCCGACTACGCAGTGTCATGACTCATGTCCTCAAAAAGCGGAAGCCAATGTTGCACGAAGCCAAATGAAACTGTACATGAGAGCAGTTAGTGCTACACCTCGCAACGTTGTAGGAAATGTGTTGTCTGCACTGAGTAGTAAAGGTTTGGTTCACTTGCCCAAACAATCATCCATTGGAAGAACTCTTCTGAGTCACCGAAAATGCGGTCATTTGCTTTGTCCAACAGGCACAAATTTTGCTATTCCTGAGAAATACTCCGAACTAGTCCTACATGATTCAGTTATGCATGATCCGGAAAGGATTCTCGTCTTCGTTGATAAAGAACTTATACTTGAATTTTGCAGATACCATATACGGTGAAGTGCGGAGGAACAAATAGGCCCGTAGTTAGAACTTCGCGCTACTTGGCACCGCAGCTACGGGTGATGTTGTCCTTTGTTCTTCACTACCATCTGGCGTGTGTACTAATTCCACATGCTAAGCTTGCCTAGACCCCGACCGACCGTGAGTGTGAGGACACAACGCCATTGTGACTTTGTGCGCCCGTTTAACACAGCTTCGCTCGTTGTCCTACGATCATCTCCGTCTTCTCAACGGCAGTCTATGCAATCTGGACGCTCAGGTGACATTTGGGACAAATGGAACTTTCTCATGAACGGTTTGACGCAAGGTCATCTAAAGCAAAAATCAACGGCCTGATTGACAGTTCAGCTGCTGACAGGGCTCGGAAGGAAGAATTCCGTAGCCCAATACATGTGAGGCTCCTTAACCTGTGCTAGTCAAAGTGGAGCTAGCCTGTTCACCTTTTTCTAGCTGTCCCCATCTCAGATGTGCTAACCTATCGCAAAGAGAAATGTGACGGAATAACAGCCCACTCAAAACTGGTTTGGAACATAGTAAACTGGATTGGCTTGAGTCTTACACATATGTCTTGCGAAATTAATGACGATCTAATGTCACCCCAGCATTGTTTCTCAGACTAAACACCATTGTACTCTGTTCTCGCCTTCACCTTCGTCATGTTTGTGGCCGAATCCGTTTATCCCACCTACTTGTCTTTCAGCTGAATCCAGCTCTCACATAACCTTGTAGATTTGTATTTGGCGCTTCTATCTGCACCAGTTGGTATTTAATTTGATCCAAACATTTGCGATGGTAGATAACTAAAACGCGGGTAGTCGCACAGACGCCTGAAATTGGTTGATCTTAGCTTAGACCTGGAGTTTATTGGTTTGGCACGGGTTCGTGAATGGGCACCTCTTTACAACTTCTAAAACATTTACGCTTTTCGGAAGTGCGCTTTACTTTGCCCTACATTCCTTTGTAATAGGCATTGAGCGCACTCAACACAACGTGTTCTACATTCGATTTTCACGTCCTCGCGCAGTTGACTAAACAATAGTTGCCATATGTGCCTTAGCACGGCGTAGGCGACCAAGCACGTTGCAAAAACGGCCGATTGGCCGGCTAGCCGAACAACCTCCTCGTGGTGTCAGCCGGGTGGTTCGGGTTTAACCCGTTCCAGCAAATAGTTCGGCGGCAGTGTTCCAGGACGTGGTGGGTTTCGCCTGGCAAGCGTTCTCCCTATAAAAAGCCACAAATGTCTGCTTAACAACACTGTGACGTGGCGGTCGTGAGTCGCCACAAAATAAAGTCACTGCCACGTGGATATCCGGATAATTCTATCCAACCCACGGACAACAATCTCCTACTCGCATGTTGATGACGATATCAAACCTTGAAGATTGGAGCAATACAACTAAAAGCACAAAATACACAGCTACATACACGTACACACACAATGACATACATACATACCCCCTACACAAACACAAACTGCTGTGGCAAACATATCGGATATTTGCACACTCTTGATCATGGATCGTTATGTCAAAATGATCATGCCTGTAAAGGTGTGCCTCACCTTGTTGAGAATAAAAGATTTATTTATTTATTTATTAGGGAAGTGCTTTATTTCTAGCGCACGCCCAAAACTGACCAAGATAATTACCATCAAGTTGCATAACACAAAACCGGGTGACCGGATAACCGACTAGAAATATTTGATCCACGTTCTTAGGGATATTCGTCATCTTACTCTACTGCATCACACCTGAGGTGAACACTATCACTATTCATGTCCCGCTCTTATCTAAACGTTAGTATTTTTTTGTATTAGTGGATAACACTTGAAATCTGGGGCGTCTCTAAGCGTTACCAATAGAGTGCATCCTGAAGCATCGCGCTCACTACGACAGCATCACCATTGCGACCATGCTAATTCATATTACTGTAGTCGCCAAGCCTTGTAGACCTCTACCAGTCCTGTGGAATGGCTGTGACGTAACACGCTATGGTTTCAACAGATCAGGAGCATGATCATGACAACGTAGAACACCGACAGCATTGTGCGATGGTGACGGTTCGTCTGGGTGAAGCACCGGCCAGACGAACATCGCTGAACAGGCGCGGCCTGACGTGAGCGAAACTCAGCGGCCCCAGATAGAGTAGGTCTGGGTTGGATACAGTGAAATGAGAACTAACTCATGAAAATTAGTTGCAATGGCTTCGTTTTCGAATTTATGGATAGTGTGAATAGTCCTGATGTTCACCGTTACATCTTTAATTTTTACCCTGACTTCGTTTTAACTCACAAAGTGCTATTGAGCATATTATGTTGCAAACAATCCAGCAGAGCCGCTCACCAATCAACTGACCCATTCCAAGGTAATAGAGGCCTTTATATTTTCAGCAGTTGAGGTAAGCAACATAGCAATAAAACTAATGAACTATCTCTAAACCTAGCAGGTTAAAGTTGGATGCACAACAGAGGAACAGTTTTAGCCGGATAGATTAGTTAGCGTTGGTAAACAGTAGTCAACATGGGTTTTGATACTTACCTTCAGGACCCGGAAGTCCGGTTTTTCCTCGTTTACCCATTAATCCGGCCAGCCCCTTCTCGCCTTTTTCTCCCATTGGTCCGGGTCTGCCAGCCCCTTTGTTTCCCGGTGGACCACGTTCGCCTTTAACACCCTTTGGCCCCTTGGGTCCTAAGCAGCAATACAAGGATTCAAGTGCAGGTATATACGTTCATGTAAAATGGTGTAAGAGATAACGATCTTAGGCAATCGAATGCGTTTTAATGCCAAAGGATAATACGTTGCGCCTTCGAAATTGACCGGATCCGAACGGCACCGTGCTTCGGCTAATTTTCAGGAACCGCGCCTTAAAAATGCGGCACTGTCAGCCACACGTAAATTGTTCGACCGATGCACTTAAACCACCATTATACTGGGACGACCGTCCTGCTGCGAGTGTGCAGGACTCACTTCAGGGAAGACGGTTGAGAAAGTATAGCTACAAGCGTTCGTGCAGTATACGAAATTACTTGTAATACTGGCAGCTCCGGATGCTTTTTAGTTATTGTTTTTTTCGCCAAGCTTGGTAATTTGATTGCAGACGTTCCATTACCACTAGAGGTGATATTGTCAGTACAGCAGCGATGGCAGTCAGACAGCAGCAGCTAGCAGAAGACAACCCAAATGATAGATACTGTCAACCACTACTCAGTTCTTTATATAGGCGTCTGAGACCATTAAGTTCACCTCGTTCTGATTAGTGATTCGTTTTGTTCCGCAGTTGTAATCGACTCATCACCATTGGCTGCACAAATGTTGTTGAGACGTGGTTGGAATTGCCGTGCTTGGATGGGTGCAGTGCGCGTTGGTAAGCAGTCTGGGCTCACGCTGACCGTTCTGTTCATTGTCTGCGTAGTGGGTTCGTCTCCTTCGAACAGCGGTTGTCAATCCTCCTCAGCTCCGTCTGTTTTAGTGGTTGGTTCAATTGGTCGATGTCGAGGTGCATGTTGATTGAGTTCGTGGTTAGAAACCAGAATTTGTGCATTATTTTCCGATTCACGGCGGCGGTTTCAGCCTTCAAGTAATTCTCTATCTGGCTGTACGAAGCCACGGCCACACTAATGACGCCGGTGTGCTAGTTCCAAATAAGCAAACTGTTTATTTTTCTCGATAAGTACACTAATAATCCCCATCCTACATATGAAAAACAACGGAACTCCTGCCAATAACTATGGGCTATCTAGCAACGCAGTCAATGCACTATCAGGATACCGCTGGTAAGTTGTGATTGAGGCGCACAAAACAGTTGTGAAACACGCTGTACACATCTGTATCAATACCTTGATGCCAGATTGCATTAGGTCACTGGCAAAAATTATGCTCTGAGCCTTACTGAGAGCAGTGAATTTTATACTATTAGCAAAGTCTGGTATAAATGATTTTACTTTTTTAATTTTTTTCTTCCAAGTTAAAGTGATATCACAATTCTACATCGCTATGTTTACCCGTCGGATGTGAATGAGCGCATGTACACAGCTCTTCTTCAGTTTGTGCTTGCTTAGTAACATTGTACAACTTATCCTATGACTTACCAGGAGGACCATCAAACCCTCGGTCTCCGGGATCTCCTGGTGGCCCGCGAGTTCCACGTCCAGAGTCGCCCTTATCACCAGGCATTCCGTCATCACCAGGTGGTCCAGAAAATCCTGGTAAACCCGGAAGTCCAGGGTCCCCTGGAAAGTACAAACACATATACATCCGTTTTAGTTATGGTCTTTCGGATGCTTAGGGTAGCTGGCGTGCAATAAAGTGTGGCAAGCCACGACCCCTCATCCCCAGCAGAATTCACCACAGAGCTAATCGAGTATCCCCACCCCAACCATTTCAATCGCTACTCATACCTTTTGCACTTCAACCTGTCGACCCACGCTTCCGAATGCCTTGACTGCACGCGAAGCATCTCCGTAGTCGGAGTTCGGAGGCCACGAACGAGCGTTTCGGAATGCACCGACGATTGCATCCATTCGTGTCCCTGCCCCAGCGACTAAATTCACCAGTAGGATACTTCTAGTTTGGCTACACCGAGAGTGGGATGCAAGTGTATGCATTGCATAAACCGTTTGATAGTGATAGCCCTGTTTGTCTTCTTCAGGATACAGACCCGGCCACATTTGTATTGCAGCCGTTATTAAGCCAGACCACTTCAATATTCGATGTCAAACTATGATGAGCCAAAACAACATGTTACCTTATGACTAGCCAAACAATGTAATCGTTGCTCTGGGAGCCAGCATTGTTCACCGCATGGATGCACTGCGCCCCGTTGTCCTGCTTGGTTAGTAAGGCCCACCATGTTTTGGGGGGGCTTTGACTCACGTCTCACAAAGACCGCAGCACAGTTTTTCTCTTTATCTGGCTAAATTAATGTGCCTCCCTGATGGGTCTAAGCAGGAGAAGACTAATGTTCTCTGTGTTTACGGCGGTTTAAGTGTGTGGCGGAGTTAAGTACTCATGCATACCAGCGAAACAATAGTCCACCTAACTACCTGGTGATTCCGAAGGGTAACTAAAGCTGACCGCCGTAAACTGTCCCATTTTGTCATTCGTTTCCCTTTCAAAATAAACGATGCGATCGACTATTCGTACATGTTTTACACTCTGAGGAAGTTAGAGCTGGAATCTGTACACTATGCTACACGACTCCGGTGAAGACCATCTTGGAGTGTGCTTTTGCGGACACACAGACTGGTGCAAGGTAGGTCACGACCCAAGGACACGTCACCAAACTGGCTGCATTGACGAAATGTGATGTTCTAGAATCATATGCCTTAATACACACGAGTTGTGCATTTAAGAATAACTGCTTGGAGGGGAGCTAGTAAATAAGAGTGATCACATACCTGGATCTCCTTTTGGTCCCGGTCGTCCAGGTGGTCCTATTGGACAGTCGATTCCGGGATCTCCAATTAGACCTTGAGGACCGATAGCCCCCTTCATTCCACGATCGCCATCAACTCCAGGAAGACCGGGTTGACCAATCACTCCCGGGGCACCCGGAGGACCACGTGGACCAGGCCTGCCAGGTATGATGCCGGTGCAGTCGGCCGAACCCTGCGAAATAATTTGGAAAAATATTGCCGTTTCACTTGCTCCATCGATGTGCTACTTGTGTCTTCTTCGGAGAGATCATGAATATTTCAAGAAGAAAACCGTATCTGTCAATTGCAACCGACTTTCTGCTGCTCATCTCCCTGCCTTAGATTACTGATGCTTTTGGAACTGTCCATTCCGATTCTATGAAACATCTACAATACGCAAGCAACCGATAACAGGGCACGAAAATGGTTAGGAAACTGGGCAATCTTCTTCAGCGTGTCACCAAACAACACATTTTGTTCAGCTGAGTGACTAATATTCCCGTCATCCCGTGATCCCGAAACCATAAGCTATCAGTTCTCAAAATTACACTATCCACCTTGGACACAGCAGACAAGCTGTTCAAGAGGCATACCACTTTATCACATTGAAGACTCAAAATGGTAGTAAGTGGGTTCGTAGAATTACGAGTGCACAATTAAATTGCCGCATAAGTGCAAATGTGCTTGAATGAAAACACTTACTCCCGGTTCGCCAGGGTCCCCAGAAGGCCCACGCAGTCCATCCGCTCCCGGATCACCAGGCATGCCTTTAGGACCGGGCAGACCGCGTTCTCCAATCAGCCCATCGCGTCCCGCAATGCCCTTCAGTTGATAAATTAACAAGGCACAAAATAGTCTAGTTCGTCTTTTAAAGAAAGGCGTAATGCACGTTTTCGTCCAGTAGAGAGAGAAGAATTTAGAGCAAAATGAGAATTTGTGACTTGCAAACTCAAAAACTGGGATGAGCTGATCATGGTCAAACTTGCGCTTCAAAAGAGAAGTTTGGATGGGTCGTTTCATATTTCCGGAGCCGGTATCTCTTAAGACAACAGGCGTGGAGGTCGTTACGTTTTGATGCCGCGTGTCATGCACGTTTTCATGCAGATTTAACAGCTATCATTCGAGTATAACTGTTGGCAGTCAGCCAAACATCAGGTACACATTTACTCGAAAAATTAATCTTTATGCATAGAGGAGCCAGTACCCATTTGATTTCACTCGGTTTGGGAAACACGCATTTCATGGAGGCACACAGGAAAAGTGCTATTTTCCCGTACAATTTTCCTCTCAAAAGTGAGTTCAAGTTAAGTACTTTCCTGCCTAAGTCGCCTATGCAAATCAAACGCCGCTCCAGTAGACGATAATAACGTGTGTTTTCCAGACCCACCCTCCCGGATCAGCTCCGTAGCAATCTAATTGCAAGCGTCATTGCCGATTCCACATCGGTCTGTTGCATCATTCGCTTCGTACCGTCAGCAAAGACCCATGTGTATTCAAGACACATTAACGGATTATCTTTGGGACCCATTATTCAGGAAAATTCACTGACCCAAAAGAAATGTCGTGCAATATAACCGAACAGGAATGGAGACCAGAGATGGTTTAAAGTTTCCTTGTAATCGAGTATTGCGTACGCATGTAAGGAGACGGTATATATACTTTATGAGACCGCCATAAACGTTCTTCACTTGATGAAGTTGGAGCTTTCGACGGCTCCTCACAGGGCCATCGAATTGGATCAGCAGCAGCAGCAGCAGCAGCAGCAGCGGCAGCGGCAGCAGCAGCAGCAGCAGCAGCAACAGCAACAACAACAGCAGCAACATATGTTCGTAGTTCGCACAGACTCAGCTGATTAATATACTTGGTGTTTTCGAGAACAGTTGCCTAAACAGTCTTCAGTTTTTTCCCACTAGACCAGATCTTTGCGCGTCCGTGTGATACACAGCACTTTACGTTGCATCTTTGAATATTTCGATGAGTAGTGAGTAGGCACACAGGAATTTTACGGATTACTTAGAGGCCAGAACTGCATTTCTGGTATATTCGGTTCCTAGTTTCAATCTGAAGAATCAAAACAAGACGGTGGTTTTGACTTTGACAGATGTCAAGGGACATTTCACCAGATTTCTGGTTAGGAAGGAATCCGCGAGGCGAACAAGCCAGAACCCCGACTTCGGGTTTTGATTGGGAATCAAGCGTCCGTTCAGGCGAGGGACGAACACTTCATCTTTAGTTTACACTTTGCTTCACGAATCAGTACTTGTGAGTACATTTGTCAATAAATGATCACATCTAAGGTTGTTGTCCTCTAACTCTGGACAATCAGATATATAGGTTTATTATCAGATGTTAACCGATAGATGGTTACAAAACTCACCTTCAAGCCCTGCTGGCCAATTTGACCCTTGAAGCCCTTGGGGCCCTGTAAAGACAAAATTTCAGTTTTTGATTACATAACTAGTGCTAAACCATGCAAATCTGGCTTGGTAAGATGATAACTAGCTTCGTACCAGGATGAGCACGAAATTACGTACAACCTACCGGGGTTCCATCTGGTCCAGGAATGCCTTTCGGCCCGGCGTCGCCAATGGTTCCGTCCACACCCTGTAACAAAGAAAAAACAAAGGTAAGCCTTCTACGCACGGTTGTCAGATAACACAGGCTTGGGTCTATGCGAGCCAACTTAGGAACAGTGAGTCACAGGTCATGCCTCGAATGAATTGTAGACTCACCCTGTCCCCTTTTTCCCCCTTCGGTCCGGCATACCCCTTTGGTCCAGTTGGGCCCTGTAATATCACAAATAGAGACCGGTTTACGTTATTCAAGAATTTAGTACATAGATGTTTACATGCTTAAGAAATTTAGAATTCAGACTTTATAAAATACACATGACTAGTATCTGGTTTTACCCGGTCCCCAGCTGGTCCGATGAGTCCTTTCCGATCCTGGTCCAGACTGGCAGCGGTACAGTTACTACCTGGGTCCCCGGGATCACCAGGCTGACCCGGTGATCCTTTGACTGGCGTGTACGAGTCGATTATTGATTCGCCAGGATCTCCGACATCCCCTGTCGGCCCAGGGTCACCATCTTCACCCTAAAGTCAAAAATCGTTTTACAGTGCACATGGTTTATGGTACAAACATAGTGATTGGGGTAAATACAATGGTACTGGAAATCGCGGCCAAATGAGTCAGCTGGTAGTGCCGTATTTCTACCGCAGCAGAACATGTGATTAACCTGTTGCAGCAACTAGTTGTGGTCAACTTACTGTGCTGTACCTAACGTTGTTAAGGAAGTATCAATCCAAGGCATTGTTATTTCGCTTGTAAGTGACTAGGTAGGTTAACCTATCCGTGTTGTTTATTCCTTAAGATGACACATGGTGTGCGGGCGCTGTAAGACCGATTAGGCGGTGTGGCAGCTACATGGTCAGTAGTAATAGCTGCAGCTGACCAAATTTCTTTGTGAGAATAATGAATAAATCTCATAGGAGAATAGCGATCAAGAGAAAGGGATATCTATTATGCCTGCGGTAAACTCCATGATCGTCTTTCCGAATCGACAGTGAACAGGACAGTCAGTGCAAGCGCGTGTGTAGGCGGCCGGTGAGCCACTGAGGCTCGCAACAGAGGAGAGCAGATCAGCGCAGCGAGCGAATATGGTGGTCACTTGGAAATATTATGGTGTTGCTCATCCCAACACTGACACCTCACGACCTCGGTTTCAAAGTTGGACTTGGAGAATCCGCTGTGTGGTTGGGTTGCTATAAGCAACCTCTGTTGAGACCTCGTTTCACTTGAAGTGAACCTCGGTCATTCCGATCACAAGGACCGTAGATAAAATGGAAATATTATGGTGTTGCTCACCTCAACACTGGTGGTCACTCTGCGAATGTGCAGTTAATCAGCATTTGAGTTCCATCTAAATGAAGATCGGAATCTGTACACCATTCATTTCTTCCATTGGATGTAAGTGATGTCCGACCCTCGAATCCGATAGGTGAACTCCTTTGACCAATCGTAGATCTGACGTCCTGGTTTCAACTACTCCTCTACGCCTGCACTCCAGACGTCCACTCAAGTCTTTACCAGTGTGACCACTACAACCCCACACCCCAGTTGGTCGCACGCAACAGATAGAAGTGATACCGTTTGGGGGGCAGCGAGATTACTTGATGTAGATTAAACACTGACGTCGAGGTAGAGAAACCGAACCATAACCAATGTTACTGCGACAATAATTTAGACTCAGACCCAACTTAGCTTACATTTCTCTAGACTCACCACGTCTTGTCGGCAGCGACACTGTGTACAAAGTGCTGAAGCAGCCTCACTCAGGTAAAGCAAGCCATCCGGACGAACTCTCTCAGGTTGTTCTAAAAAAATGTGTTGACTTCTTGGTGAAGCCTCTAACAACTTTATATGAATTCTGCATTCAACGACATTTATGTTGTTGCTGGAGTAGTGCCAGTATTACACCAATACCAAGGAAAGACTCAAGCAAATATCAAACAATAGCTTGTACGTTAGTGGCTTTAAAGGTATTCGAAAGGACTATTTTTAAGTAGATAATTACACAGTTTAACAACACTGTGACGTGGCGGCTGTGACTCGGCACCAACTGAAGTCACCCACTGCTTATCCGTACAACCGCTTCAAGACCACAGATATCAAGCCGCCATGTAGAACTGGCGACACGTTCAATCACGATCAAAAGGGCAGAAAAACATTTACAATTCCCATAAAAACAGCTAAACAAGCCTACATATATCAACATATGCGACAATCCCATTGTTCCATTGTACATTAACTGATCACATTTTTGACTCTTAACATGATCATGCCTGTGTAGGCGTGCCTCACTTAGTTGAGAATAAACATTTTATTTATTCATTTATTTACAAAGGTAGCCAAATGATTTACTGCAGTTCGAAGGCAGCCCAGGACGTGATAGCCTGCTTCACGCAATCACCGTTGTCATCGCTGGGCAATGGAAACAAGCTCACCCGAATATAGTTCCTGGATTACAGCGACTCATTCAGGCGCGTATACCGTGAATTGCTGTTAAAAGATCTACTC